AGAACAGTATGGAAGTTTGGGTTTGGTTTATACAAATCATCATCATCAGGGGCTGAGTGATCTCGAGGCATGGCGTCCGCCTCAAGTGCTGCAGGCTGGGATTTTTCATGTGGACTTCCAGTGATTTCCTCTGGCCTCTGGGTAGTAAGATTGGACACCTGTGTGTATTGTTATGACTATGAGAAGTCAGATGTGTCAGATGAAAGAATGCTTTAGTGGGGGATAAAAACTAAATAAGACTACAGTAGAAACGCAAACTGCAAGCGATCAAAAATTGAGTTAGTGTTAAAAAGAAAACACTTTCCCAACTGGGAGACAAGTAAACATTAAAAGAATTTACATATTCTTCCAGGTCAGAGTGCATCTCCCTGAGAGAAAAAGAATCAAATAAACTAGATCGGTAAAACAGATGTGCATGCGACATTAAAGTCCTGGAACAAGATCAAAGTCCAGAAGTGGACAAACAACCAAGATTGTCTGCCAGAGTTAATCCTGTGAGATGCAATTTTTCGTTTTCTGAAGCGCTACTCTGGCTCTTGCCAGGGGCCGCAATAGAGCCCGACCATAAATATGGTCTAATGGCTCAATGCGGTTTCTGGGGCCTCTCCACAGTGATCCTCATCCACATGGTGGCACTTTGTGTCATTGGGTGTTTATCACTTGTGTGATGTCATAGTGGGATAAAAATCTACTACTAGTACTGCCAGAGTTTACAGCCAGTAATGTGAAGAAGAAAGAGAAAAAGATTCAGATTTGAATAAACTCTTTCTTCTTCTTCTGCCTTCTATCCCCCAAAAGAGCACAGGCCCTCAACCAACTCACGTCAGGTCATTCAGTCCTTCACCACTGCATGCAGCCATCCCATGTCCTCCCCATTGTGTCACTCTCTAGCTCCCTTCTCCATGTGTTTTTGGTCTTTCTTTCTTTCTATGCCCCTGTGGGTTCTATTGTACAGACATTCTAGGCATACTGGTTTTTCTCATTGTTTGTCCTATCCAACATCAGCATCTTATTAACTCTTTCAATTCCAGATAATTATTTAATCAGCTGTCCAGGTTTTATACAGTGTGGAATCACACACAATGCTTAGGACCCTGTGATGTCTAATGGCACACAAAGGATGATGATGATGAAGCTCACTTAGGCTGACAGTAGCATGGATCTGTGTCCACTGATTTATTGAAGAAAAAAAAAAATCTGCTACTGCAGGAACTGTAAAACAGAAAAAGATCAGGTTTGACAGTCTGAAAACAGCCCAGCAGTCAAGAACATTCCAACAAATGTCTAGAAACAACACTGAGGGAAAAAAAAACAGACTAATCACTGTCATGTGCCTTTTTTTGCCATCTTATATGATCACCATAATCATAAATCAGGTCAGTGTTATTCTCTGACCCCCATCCATATATCTGAGCAATCCAGGTTATATCCCCTTGCTCTTTTTATCAATCTTGCCTGTTGCTACCAAGTTCCAAGTCGATTTCTTCTCATAACATAAAAAACAAACTAACTGAAGGAACATTGAGCTAAGGTCTTTTTTTTTTAAATTTGGGTACCGTCTCTACATTGGAATTTGGCCACAATGTATCCACTGCTATATAAAGTAGAGAACCCTCTTCTATGCCTTCAGGCAAATCGGTAACTCTAACTATGAAAATAACAATGTGGTCAGGCCCCAAACTCTTCCACTTTGCAACTCGTATACCACTGTCCAAAAGCCTATCTTTTTCTAATCAGGCCACATCGTGAATCGAAACCTATTTAACACTGATGACTGCATTGTGAAACTAGTATACACTGATCAATTTTAATAATTAAAAAAAAAAAAAAACAATTTTTAGAGAAACACAACAAATGACATCAATCATGATTTTCAAAACTGTATTAATAAACTCTTTCAGACAAAACTATTTCACAGCAGAATCTCATGGAGACTCATGGCCACAATGAGCACAGGTATATTACTTTTAGCCCTTACGCTCCGGGAACACACATACAAATTGGTCATGAGGCAAGTCACAATAATAAAATGGTTTGATAGAATAACTAATGTAGAACTTTGGGAGAGAACTAAACAGGCTCCAGTGGATCAGGAAGTGAGGAAAAGACGCTGGCGTTGGATAGGGCACACACTGAGAAAACAGGAGAACAGTATTACTAGAATGTCTTTGCATTGGAACCAACAGGGGCATAGGAATAAAGGAAGGCCAAAAAACACATGGAGAAGAGAGCTGGAGAACGAGGTTAGAAAGATTGGGAGGACATGGTGAGAGCTCCATGCAATGGCGAAGGACAGAACGACTTGGCGTGAGTTGGTTGAGGGCCTATGCTCCATTGGGGGATAGAAAGGCAGAAGAAGAAGTCACAATAGGTCACTATAGACGAGTCTGAAAACTCACATTTATGGGGAAGTGGATTTAACTGGAAGTGTCAGTTCAAAGAGCTCTTGGGGCGAAAAGTTGAAAAGGTGCCAATGCTGAACTATGCATTTTAGTGCACTTTCCTGTCCAGGCTCAATCTGTAGAGGATTTCTTTCTTCTAACAGATCAGTCGAGTAAAAACAGGTAATAGATAATTTACATACTTGGGGGGGGGGGGTGTCTCTTTAGAGGCAAGAGGTAGACAAAGATGGGAGGGCAACATCAAGAGATGGATTAACAGCAGTCTGAGAGTGTACTACCAAGATGGACGGAGATCCACTGCAGCCAATTTTTACTGTGCTATCTGACAGATTGACTCAGAAAATGTATGGGAAAAAGAGTGTGACGAGGATGGCAACTGACCACCTCACCTTATATAACATGGCCTAACACTTCATGCCCCATGAATGACAGTGTCCTTTTTTTTTTTTTTTTTTAGACACAGCAATAAACAGTGTGAGGCTGGGGGAAATGGCCACCGTGAAGAAACAGGCTAACAGGGAGGGCCATAGTGAGGAACAGGCTGGGAGAAATGGCCACCGTGAAGAAACAGGCTAACAGGGAGGGCCATAGTGAGGATACAGGCTGGGAGAAATGGCCACCGTGAAGAAACAGGCTAACAGGGAGGGCCACAGTGATGATGCAGGCTGAAAGGATATGGCCACCATGAGGAAACAGGCTAAGAAGGAGGGCCATAGTGAGGATACAGGCAAGAGGGAAATGGCCACCGTGATGATAAATGCTAACAGGGAGGGCCACAGTGAGAATACAGGTTAGGGGAAAATGGCCAGCAAAGGAAACAGGCTAAAAAGGGGGCACCATAGTGAGGATACAGTCTAGGGGGGAAAAGATACAGGCTAAGGAAAAATGGCCCCCTTGAGGATACAGGCTGAGAATAAATGGTCTCTGTGAGGCTACAGGAAAATAGTTAATGTGAGGATAAAGGCTAAGGGGCAGGCCACCTTAAGGGGGCTGAGTTCCATCAGGGTTCAAATACTGCCCGAGGCGTACCATGTTAATTAACAGATCAGCTAATTCCTCACCAGCTCAGTCGCTGGGTTACCAAGGGCCGCATCAAACATCCCTGACAGGCTTTAATCATAAAGTCTGTTGCATCTGACCAATAGAGGGGAGGGGAGAGGGACTGATCAGACAGTTAACAACAGTAAATTTTATGCTGGTCTCCTCATTTACACACCGCTACACACCAGCTCGCTTCTGATTGGATGACCTACTGACCACCTCACTTCTAATATGTCGGCCACGAGCGATTTGACTTTTACACAAGGTCATAGAGATATTCCGCACTTTGCGTTCATACCGCGTGTTGTATATTTCACCATGCCAGAGCTTTTAACACTCCTAAAACATTTAGATACTGGGTCTAACACACAAAACAGACTGCAACAACCTGGACCACGGTAGACTAGTCCAACCAACATCAATGGAGCTGACCTACATCGGTGGTGTGTAAATGGGGAGACCAGCGTAAAATTCACTGTTAACAACTGGTGACCCAATGACAAGCTGTGTTATGGGACTGATGCTAGTGGGGACAACACATTATACCACTTTGGTAACATTACGAAAAAAGATACTAGAATCAATAATTTTACCAAGACTTCAAACAGTAGGCAGGATACAAGATCGCACCAATATCAGGATGCTGGAAACAAACAGCAATAGCTTTATGGGTCCTTAGGGAAAGCAAGGAATAGTAGCACTGCCAGTAGGAGTGTTGAATGTCAAGTTAGGAATCAACATCACAGCACAAAGGGAACACTTCCATAACGCTCCGTCCCCATGGGAGTGTGAAAAGGGGAAGAGTTCCCATTCCGATGGTACCAGTAACTGTCTGACTGTACAGCCGTCTTGCAATTCTCTTGAATGTTGAGCATCAGCCACATCTCCTGGCAACTCCCGGCAGCACCATTCTCTTTGGACTATAATGATCTATTTGTGCCTCTGCACTGTTCACTTGCTGCCAAAGGGCCCTCACAACATCTTGCTTGTCATGCATCAACTCATTATTACCAAGTGGTGCAGAACCGGTCAGCATATCATAAGATGATACTAAGGCAAAGGCTGGATTTGGCTCTGGCTACCCCATTCCATAAAAAGCTGCATCAGCAAAAGCCAGCCAATCTGGGAATCAGAATGATAAGGCCTCACATGAGTTGGTCGAGGGCCTATGCTCCAGTGGAGGAGGAGGGGGGGGGGGAGCAAAAGAGAAAATGGACAGCTGAAAATTAAACATGAAATAAACTGTACATAAAAGTGCTTACAGGAACATCTGAATACCTGTCTATGTGGCCCTGATCATTCATGGTAGACAAGCAGCAGTGACATATTTCACAACTGCTATAGTTAATGTTCACGGTATGAAATTTCACATTATAATAATTTATTTTTGTACGATAAGTTAAATGTCTAAGATCAACAGTCTATGATCCATTGTCTATAATCAAGTGTCTTTGTTAAAGTCCACTATCAATGAATCCACGTTCTATTAATCCAATTATGATCCACTGACTGTGATAAACTGTCAATGGTCCACTGTCTATGATCCGCTGCCTGTGATCAACTGTCTGAGGAACCTTCTTTTTTAATCAGTTCAACAGCACCAGGTGCTTTACTGGCAGCAACAACCTCCTCTCGTGTTGCAGTTGCCACTGGGTTGATGATTGCCGAGGGGGGAACAGCCAGGCTGACAAGGGGCAAGCTGGGCAGAGAGTGGGTGGCGATTCCAGACGTCACTAGCAGCTTCCCCATTGTCTGTATCACACTGACATTGCCAGGCGCACCACTGACTGTCGGCATTTGTGTCATGTTGGCCAGCTTCATCATGCCAGGTGGCGGTGTGATGATACGAGCATACACTGGCTGAACTTTTCCTTTTGGAGATCCGCGTCCTGGAGTTTTACCTCCAGCTTGCATAACCTTTTCAAGAACAGAAAAACGCATTGTATTGAAAAAATGTTTGTTAAAATTATATCTGAAGTATGGGTGATCATGGCATATTTTTTAATTTTGCAGAACAGAATAATAAATTGGGTGCTTTATTAGTATCCTACCCCAGATGATGTCACAGGACAGTCCAACATTTTAGAGGGTGGTAAGACTGGGTTTCCCGGCTTTCTGATGCTTTTAATGATCCCAAAACATATAGAACTGGCCCTAACCCCAACGTCCCACAAGAAAGTGCAGCCTAGGTCCCACGACTGCATGCATCCTAGGTCCCACAACTGCATGTGGTCAATCTACCACCCCCTGAAATATTTGACTGTCCCGTGACCTGTGGATTTCCCCGTTTGGGGTAGGATATTAATAAAGCTCCATAAACTGTTCTGAAAAGGTATTCCTTAAAAATTATGTCTGATACATAGGTAGTCAAGGTATATTTATAAATTTTGCCGAGCAGAAAGGTAAACTGTTTTGAAATAATAGTTGCTATTTGAAGCAATGTCTGCTCTTTAGGTACTAGCATATCTTCTTAGCGTTCGCCGGCTATAAATTCTGGTGGTAAGTTCTGGTTGTTCTTCCACCTCTGGACTTTATTCCCAGTTAATTGACTCTTATTATATTTGGGGGGGGGGGGGGAGAGAAGGGGAGCAGTGGGTCCATTCTTGTCTTCCCCACAATGGGGCCCCAGAACCCACACGATGAGGAACTAACAAACCGTTTCTTTAAATCTTTCTACTTTAAAACAGCCAGTACTTGGGCGTGAATGAGTAGAAATAACACTAAAGATAAGAAGGAGCTATGAGTACAATTTGGATAGAAGAGTTAATGTAATACAATACTGTGAGAGAAAAGTAAAAGGGTCTCTGTGACTAAGTGATCAAGCCATGTGCACCGCGTTCTGAAAGTCATGGGTTCATTTCATGGCTGCGTTGTAATGTTCATTAGTGCAATTTTTACAAAGAACCCTGTGGGTCGTCACCGGAGCTATGGTGTTCATACTTTGTGCGAAGCTCTCAGCGGGTGACTAGCCAATGATTATGAGATAAAAACTGGTACCTTTAACTGGTAACTGACAATCAGAAAGAGTATAGGTACAATTTTGAATGGAAGAGTCCATGCTATACTGAGACAAAAAAGTAAAAACGGTAGATATCTCTTCAACTAACTATTTAAGGTTTGGTCAGTTGCTTGGTACTAAAGAAGTTAATAAGTATCTTCTTTTTCTTAGCACTGACCGGCTTTAAACTTCAGCAGAAAGTTCTGGTTATTCGTCCATTTCTGGACTTGGTCCTATTTCAGAACTTGAATTTTTTAGGGGGGATTCTATTCTATTTTTCCCCGAAACCTACAAAGGAAGTTCACAGGTATCTTCTTCTTCAGCGATCTCTGGTCATGCGCATAAGCCACTGTGGGTCATAAACTGCGATGTCGTATAATCTAACGGTAGAACATGCTTGCTAGGACTTGCACCCGGGTGACTCTCATCTGAATGGTGGGACTGTGTGTCACTGGGTGTTTATGGCTCAATGTCCGGTCCTGGTGGGATTGAACGTCACTCACTCATTTAGGTGTATTCACCTATAGGGCTAGACCTATCTTTTACAGATCAATCAGCACTCAGTAAGTGATGTGGTCAACATCATGCCGGTCACCTTTTCTTCCCAGGACTTTACCTTGTGTCTATTTTAGCTGGTGATGACCTGGGAGACAGGGACATTTTTGGAAAACATCCAACTGGTTGAGACTAATATCTGAGACAGGAGAGTGGGTACAATACCTGCGCAGCAGTCAGCCCTGCCACAGATGAGGCTGCAGTTTGAGGCTGTGAGATGAGTATGGCGGCTTGGCCAGGCTTGAGACTGCCTTGTTGGGTCAGCACTGTTCTCATGACCTGCTGATGATGTCCACCAGGGAGAGGGAAACACAAAGATACACATCATTCTTATATCTTATGGTATCATAACATATAAAATTACATATATACATAATGCCCATGCCAGTAACATTTAGGCATGCATGGTTTCTTCTCTGGGAGTCGCCCTGGCTTTGGCAGCTGGACGCCCGCCTGAGGATTGGAAATTCGTGGGTTTGCGTCCTGATGGAGCCAGAATTTTTTTCCAAAAATGACCTTGACTCCCAGGTTGACCCAGCCTTGAGTGGGTACCAGATGCAGTCCTGGGAAATAAAGGCGGCCGGCATGATGCTGACCACATCACCCACCAAGTGCCAAGTGGTCTATAAAATTATAGGTTCAGCCCTATATGCCCAGTTCGCCTAAAGGCATGGAAAGGCACTTTTACCTTTATGGTTTCTTCTTTTTCTTCTGCCTTTCAAACCCCCAATGAAGCATAGGCCTCAACCAACTCACACCAAATCGTTTTATCTTTTGCTATCACATGCAGCTCTTCCCATATCCACGCAATCTTTTTCTCTCTCTAGCTCTCTTCTCCATGTGTTTTTTTTTTTTTTTTTTTGTCTTCTTTTATTTGTATGCCCCTGTGGGATCCGATGCAAAGACATTCTAGTTATATTTTTCTCAAACTTTTCTCAACATGTGTCCTATCCAACGCCAGCTTCTTATGTTCACCTCTTTATCCAATGTTAACTTGTTTAGTTCTCTCCCAAAGCTCTATATTAGTGATTCTATCAAACTATTAATTCCCTCTATTCTGTGCAGGTACCAGTTAATTAATGTTTCTAGTTTATTATTTATTGCCTTAGTTGTTCTTCATGTTTCCACCCCATACAACAGTACTGATTTGACATTGAAATTTAAAAATGTTAGTTCAGTAATTAGTTTTAATTTCTTTTGACCTCCACAAATGTCCTAGTGCAATGAAAGCTCCTCTTGCCTTTTATATTTGTATTTTGATATCTCTATCAATCAGTTCCCACATGTTAATCTAAATTAATGCCCAAGTAGATGCACAACTCCACGTCTTTGAGTTGGATACACTTAAGAGAAACCACACTACTATTTGCCTGATTTATTCTCATTATCTTTGTCTTTCCCTTATGAATTTTTAGATCTATCTGTTGTGATTTCGCATCAAGTATCATTAATTTATCTTGCATCTGATTCCCTGATTAGCACACTGTAGAGGTCCTCGTGGCTAGGCTGTCTGCTTTAAGCTCCAAGGGTCATGAGTTCATTTCCTGACTGCATTATTAGGTTCAGACACTGGGGACCATTACTGGAAATACATTCTTGGTGTGTGACACTCCGGGCAGGTGGCCAGCCATTCTGCCAACAGAGACCAATAAATGTTGGTAAAATCAAGTTTTTGTCTTCAACTTTTCAATTTCAACCTCACACTGTTTTATCATGTCCAAGTTCTTTTACGTGTTATGCCGTTTGTGTAAGCCATCCGGAAACTCTTCCTGACTGCCTATATTTATCAAAACAATATACTGGTGGTATCTGCTTCTTAATCCTCATTAATTTTTCCCCCATTCTGATGATGTGTCTCCACATTATAGTGGCAGTGGGCTTGTGCTTTCTAGTGTTCACAAAAGCTATGTTAATGGTAGCTAATGGAAGGGTATCCCCATGTCAGGAATGCAGAGGTGCTTCACATGCGGAGGCGGTGCACCAGCACCCAGGCTCAAGCTGGTCAAGGCCTATCCAGATCCCTCTGTGGTCATCCTAAGAAACAGAGCCCTAAAAGAGGCCTAGCCAATGTATACAAGATATGCATCTCCTTTCAAGTGGGAGCTTATCTGCTTTAATGATGATGAACCAACAGTCTACATACAAATAAGTCATATCTGTAAAAGAGATGTGCTCTCAACATTAAGAGCACAAACAAACACCTGTGGTGTGAGATACTAGAATCTGCAGACTGCGCCAGTCAAAGGCTATGGAAAATATTCTTGTTGAAATCGGAAGGTGAAACGTAACTCTTTTTGTTATTAACGTGTTTTTCTTCCGGTGTATGTTATTCCTTAAAAATTTTTTATAAAATGCATCCTGCTGCAAATGATTCACAAAGTTGATCATCACTACGCTGTCACTCCTACTGATTATTAACCTAAAAACGTCTTCAATATCTAATAACAGGCAACTGCACACCAACCTGGATATTCTGGGCCCCTTTTCCTCCAGAAGAGCTGCTCACAATAATGGGAGCTGAAACAAGAAACAAAAAGGTATTTATTTTAAACTTCTCATAATTCATTTCCACATTAGGAATAGCCATTAATACAATACACCTAGTGTTGTTTTATCTCCCTAACTTCTTCCTTTTCTTCCTTCTTCTTGCTGAAAAAAAAAGAAATAAAAAGGCATTTCTGGTACAAAAAATGTACCACCTGCCCAGAAAGAGAGTGAATTCCCTTTCCATTCATGCCTCGTTGTGTCGCATGCCCCGTCCTATATTGCGGGGTATCCTGCTTAGTGAGCATCCAGCAATATGAAGTATTTTACTCGATGTTGTCAGCGGCAAGGGATATCGTGTGTTCTATATTCCCTGAGGTGAGCGCTTTTAACGGCCCAAAAACAAGCAGAACTGGCCCTAACCCCAACTCCCCAACCCCACAGCTTTAGCCTACATCCCATGGGAGAGTCCAGCCTACGTCCCACGACTGCAGGTAGCCTATATTGTATTTTGCATACAGTCATGTGATCTAGGCTGCAGTTTCTTGTGGAACGTTCGCTGCACTCTCTCGTGGGTTGTAGGCTGAGGCTATGGGGAGGGGAAGTCAGTTAGGGCCAGTTCTTTTCTTCTTATTCTTTTTCGCATTCACTGGCCATAAACTTCTGCAGAAAGTTCTGGTTGTTCATCCACTTCTGGACTCTAGTCCTGTTTCAGAACCTGAGTTTTGTGTGCAAATCCATTTTTAAGATTTGACTTATTTGTTTGCAGACTGTTGGTTCCTTGCCTTTCAAGCAGATGCACTCTTCAAAGGAAGCTCTCAATTAGTAGATTCTTACGACATGCTTTTGGCTAGGCAGTGAGTCTATTCTTTTTAACTGGCTCATAAACAGAATCCTGTTTTGAAAGCTAAGGTATTTTGGTCATGTTAGACGTCACGCTGGGCTAGAAAAAACAGTGATGGAGGGTACATTTTCTGGAAAATGAGGCAGAGGCAAACCTCTGCATCGGTGGATAGAAGACTGAAGATGCAATGGCTTTAAAAGCACATAGGGCTGGAGAACTAGTTAGAGAAAAAAAAGACTTTCAAGTGGGCCGTAATGGGGACAATGTTCTGTAAAAGACCTGCTGACTCATGATGATGATGATGAATCACAAAGACCAAAAAAGGACTTCCAACCCTGCAAATATTGGGAATTGAACTTGTGATGCTGGATTGGTAGGCCAGTGCTTTCACCCCTACACTACACTGACCTCAATTTGGAGGCCTCACAGGGGTGGGAGTTAGGAGACAGAAAGAAACACCAGGCGATAATGGTACTGGTGAGTGCATGTGAGAGAAAGAGAGTGAGAGAAAGAAAGAGACCGACATAGACAAAGACAGGGAGAAAGAGAGAGACCGACATAGACAAAGACAGGCAGACAGAGAGAGAGAGAGAGAGAGAGAGAGAGATCGAAGAGCATATGCTCAGGCAGACACAATGAGTTACTGCATTACATGAATGAAGTCGTAAGAGAAAAAAGTATGTACAAACTTCTGCTTCTTTGTATTTACTGCATAAACTGCAGTGGAAAGTTCTGGTTGTCTCATCTACTGCTAGACTTTAGTCTCGTTCAAGACTGTAAGTTTTGCAGGAACATCAGTTTTATAAACTACATAGCTGGTTTAAATGTTGGCAAGCAACTGGTTATTTGCCTCTCAGGTTGATGCACTCTGACTTTGAAGGTAATCCCTAAATTTTCTACTTTTATGACATGGCTGTTAGGGAGGTACTGGGTCTATTATTTCTTCCCCCCAAAGTGGGGCTCTGGAACCCACAAGGGGATGGCACCGAACAATCCCTAAATTACATATAAATAAAGTCCATACAAGAAAGTCCTGCTGCTGTTGAGCCAGAAGTGCAGGCTTTGATTTTCAAGAATACTCTACAGGGGGATGCTGTCATATACATAGATGGGTCTGTAATTCGCTAAGTGAGAAGTGTTTGGGTTTTTAAGGCTTAGGTTGGAGTTAGAATTTTGAAGCAAGATTTTGGTGCTATTGCCTTGACCACAAGTAGTCTAACAACGGAGGTCGTGGCAGTCACCAAAGCAATAACATGGCAGGAGACAAAGACCTTTTCCGGCGCATTCTTTATCACTGACTCAATAAGCATGCTCAGGAAGATAAAGGGCTGGGTCCAAAGACAGTGGTTAGAGTCTCCAAAGCGGTCCGGGCTGATACATATCAGTTTCCTATTTGTGCCAGGGCACGCAGGCGTCAAAGGAAATGAGCAAGCTGATCGGCTTGCAGATAAAGCTACTGCGGAGGGCAGACGAGCAATGGGCCATACTGATATTCTGAATGATCTATGAGAAGACGTTTGCGAGAACCAAGTGATGATTGTAAATCTGCAACCAGGACCAGACTGCAAGAATAACATGTTGAGAGGGGTGTGACCAGACAAGAGTGCTATGCAGGATGCTAAAGAAAAATAAGAAATCACAGAACTGGTGTCATGAGCCGCTACACACTGCATGATTACTAAGGAGGGGATCTGAGCACCTATGGACTAAATGGTTCAATGTGCAATGAGGATAATCTGTTGACTAACCAAATAACTAACATATAAATGCAGCAAATAAAATGGTCTGCCCACTTAAAATGCCTTGTAATGTTAATGATACATGACCAGCCAAAACACCCCTCTGCTAATAAGTATACAGATACCCTGTCACCTACTATTTAAATAACCCACGCTACCTAACAGTAGGACCCAGAGTGCAAGTATTAGAATCAAAATAAGCAGAGGAAGGCAAAGTACTAGGTAAACCAAGATGGAAAGACAACAATAGAAAAACTCTACAACTATGCAATGTTTCTATGGTCAGTTTTAAAGAAGAGAAGAAGAAGAAGAAGCGCTGCATGACCTCAGACATGAACCATAATGGTGACTCTCTTCCCCCATGTGAAAGGGATGATCAAAAAAATAAACACATGCAAACTCACTTCCAGAAGACTGAGAACCGGAAACAGAACCTGGTGCTGGCTGCAGTATAAATTGTGTAGGGACAAGACTGGCCTGACCTGTGGGCATAACTTTAGTCTGTGTGCCTGGAGTCCCTGGGGCTGTTGGGATGACGACAATCAAGGTTAATGATAAAACAGTGAAAGCATTAAAGAAAACCTGTCTGGGTCAAGCCCTATGAAACAATACACCCCACACTGGTAACTCTGTGACTGTAAGGGCACCCCAATATAACTGTCTTACATGGTTGATTAGAGTTTATGGGATTTGTTCCTTTTTTTTGATTTTCATCCTTGAGTAGCTGGCTGAACGGTTAGATTGGTTCTCATGCTGGAGACCTGGGCTCAAATCCTTGGTAAGGACATGCATTTGTGTTTACTGGGTAGAGACAAAAATGAAATCCTAAACTGCACAGTCTGTGGTAACAGCACTAGCCATGCAGACCTAAATCCTCCAGGTTTTTTTAAACTGCTAAAAACTCTGCAAAAGTGATAAAAGCAGGCAGTTTTCAGAAGATTCTCATCCTTGAGGGGTTAATCCTACATTCAGCAATCCTAGAAGGAAACAATGACCAACCAACCATGGTTCAATGAAAATAAATTAACCTAAACAGAAGCAGAACTAGTCAGTTTACTATGAAACTGTCATAAAGACATAATGAATGAATTCTGCATCTTCATCCGCAAACCTGCTAAAAATAAACACACAATGAAAAAATACATAAAACCTACTGCACACATGGCTACTGCCTAAAAAATGGCAACTCAAAGACCTCAAAGACAGCAGCTGCCTAAAAGACAGCTACTGCCTAAAAAGAGGCCCCTGGTAATGTTAGTGGTGGTTGTTGTGGTGATGGTGCTGCTGCTGCTGCTTCGGTTACAGCTATTACTGTTGTAGAACATGATGATGATGGAATTGTCAAAATACTTTCAGCCAATCATTAGTGTTTAAATCAACTGACCTGGTCTCAAAGTTATATTCCCTTGAGCTAGCTGCGTCACCACAAGTCCTGCCTGGACAGGACTTAAAATCTTCGCTTGAGTGGTTGCCTTTGATGCTGCTGACGCGAACTGTGTGGGATGAGTTACAACTACTGTGGATGTTGTGGCTGTTGGAGCTGCAGCTGAGGTTATTGCTGGAGCTGAAGAAATACAATCAGATATTGTCAAAGCTCACAGATGAAAGAGGGGAAAAAGCAGCTAATGAGAGAATACCCCTTTTTCTTTTTCTTCTTCTTCTTTGTTTGCAATTAAACAAGCAGTTAGCAAACTGCGGTTTACAGCTCTGCTGTCATTATGCACCTTTTGGCCATACACATTCTTCTTCTGCATTCTCTTAAAAGAGTTATGTTATGTTGTCAACACAATTATTCTTTGCACACTAGGCATCCCCTGTGTGCTCAGTCATCCGATGCAGCAGTCACTCCAAGTTACTTCTACTGACTGTTCCAATGAGGAGTTGGTTATAGAATCTCATGTCTTTACCTCAAAGACAACAAAGACTACTTCACCAAGCTTAACTCCTCGGTCGCATAGTCCCTGCCATTTGGCATTACTAATCATAGCTTCTGTCTCACACAAACACAATTCTTCTTCTTACAGTCCCTGCCATTTGGCATTACTAATCATAGCTTCTGTCTCATACAGGCATTACTAATCATAGCTTCTGTCTCATACAGGCATTACTAATCATAGCTTCTGTCTCATACAGGCATTACTAATCATAGCTTCTGTCTCACACAAACACAGTTCTTCTTCTTACAGTCCCTGCGATCTGGCATTACTAATCATAGCTTCTGTCTCACAAAAACACAATTGTTCTTCTTACAGTCCCTGAAATTTGGCATTACTAATCATAGCTTCTGTCTCACAAAAACACAATTGTTCTTCTTACAGTCCCTGCCATTTGGCATTACTAATCATAGCTTCTGTCTCAAACAAACACAATGATCTTCTTCTTACAGTCCCTGCCATTTGGCATTACTAATCATAGCTTCTGTCTCACAAAAACACAATTGTTCTTCTTACAGTCCCTGAAATTTGGCATTACTAATCATAGCTTCTGTCTCATACAAACACAGTTCTTCTTCTTACAGTCCCTGCGATCTGGCATTACTAATCATAGCTTCTGTCTCATACAAACACAGTTCTTCTTCTTACAGTCCCTGCGATCTGGCACTACTAATCATAGCTTCTGTCTCGTAAAAACACAATTCTTCTTCTTACAGTCCCTGCCATTTGGCATTACTAATCATAGCTTCTGTCTCATACAAACGAATCTTAGCTTCTGTCTCATACAAACGAATCATAGCTTCTGTCTCATACAAACACAATTCTTCTTCTTACAGTCCCTGCCATTTGGCATTACTAATCATAGCTTCTGTCTCGTACAAACACAATTGTTCTTCTTCTTACAGTCCCTGCCATTTGGCATTACTAATCATAGCTTCTGTCTCACACAAACACATTGGTCTTCTTCTTACAGTCCCTGCCATTTGGCATTACTAATCATAGCTTCTGTCTCACACAAACACATTGGTCTTCTTCTTACAGTCCCTGCCATTTGGCATTACTAATCATAGCTTCTGTCTCACACAAACACAATTCTTCTTCTTACAGTCCCTGCCATTTGGCATTACTAATCATAGCTTCTGTCTCGTAAAAACACAATTCTTCTTCTTACAGTCCCTGCCATTTGGCATTACTAATCATAGCTTCTGTCTCATACAAACGAATCATAGCTTCTGTCTCGTACAAACACAATTCTTCTTCTTACAGTCCCTGCCATTTGGCATTACTAATCATAGCTTCTGTCTCATACAAACGAATCATAGCTTCTGTCTCATACAAACACAATTCTTCTTCTTACAGTCCCTGCCATTTGGCATTAGTAATCATAGCTTCTGTCTCATGAAAACGAATCATAGCTTTTGTCCCTTCTTACAGTCCCTGCCATTTGGCATTAGTAATCATAGCTTCTGTCTCATACAAACGAATCATAGCTTCTGTCTCATACAAACACAATTCTTCTTCTTACAGTCCCTGCCATTTGGCATTACTAATCATAGCTTCTGTCTCATACAAACGAATCATAGCTTCGGTCTCATACAAACGAATCATAGCTTCGGTCTCATACTAACACAATTCTTCTTCTTACAGTCCCTGCCATTTGGCATTAGTAATCATAGCTTCTGTCTCATACAAACGAATCATAGCTTCTGTCTCATACAAACACAATTCTTCTTCTTACAGTCCCTGCCATTTGGCATTAGTAATCATAGCTTCTGTCTCATACAAACGAATCATAGCTTCTGTCTCATACAAACACAATTCTTCTTCTTACAGTCCCTGCCATTTGGCATTAGTAATCATAGCTTCTGTCTCATACAAACGAATCATAGCTTTTGTCTCATACAAAAGAATCATAGCTTCTGTCTCACACAAACACAATTCTTCTTCTTCTTACAGTCCCTGCCATTTGGCATTACTAATCATAGCTTCTGTCTCACACAAACGAATCATAGCTTCTGTCTCAAACAAACACATTGATCTTCTTCTTACAGTCCCTGCCATTTGGCATTACTAATCATAGCTTCTGTCTCATACAAACACAGTTCTTCTTCTTACAGTCCCTGCGATCTGGCATTACTAATCATAGCTTCTGTCTCGTACAAACACAATTCTTCTTCTTACAGTCCCTGCCATTTGGCATTGCTAATCATAGCTTCTGTCTCATACAAACACAATTCTTCTTCTTCTTACAGTCCCTGCCATTTGGCATAACTAATCATAGCTTCTGTTGCATACAAACACAATTCTTCTTCTCAAGTCCCTCCCATGTGACATTAGTACTCATAGCTTCTTTATTGTGACATATACTTCTTCTTCATCAGCTGTAAACTACAGCTGAAAGTTCTGGTTGTTCATCCACTTCTAGAATTTAGTCTTGTTCCAGAACCTTAGTTGTGCATGCATATGCATATTAAAGATCTGGCTTATCTGTATGCAAACTGTTGTATAGTGAACCCTAGGAACCCACAATGGGAAATCTCATATGCACACATATTTCCTTCATCCATCGACATGCTTCATTACCATAGATGGAATCCAGTCCTCTCTCACCAACATTCATGTAAGGTATACAAACATGATACTCACACAAAATTGTGGTAGTCTTGCCGCCAGCGGCAGACACTGACATAGACGACAATGCCTGCTGAGGAATCAGGTTGATGGCTGTTAAAGGTCCCTGAGAGGTCCTTATCAGGCCCAGGGTTGGGCCCCCCTTGCCAGCAGTCAGCTGCACCAAGCCCTTCGCATGAGCTAGGGGCTTGCCTCCCAGCTGTATATGATTGCCTCCTATCATAGGTTGTACAATATTGCCCCCTAGGAAGAGAAGGATTTATCAACTCAGGCTCAAGGTTAGGGCTGCAATTTCAAGGTAAAAATCAAGTTTCCTGGTCGGCTACGAACCCTGATCAAGAGAGACTACCAGACACACATTCACATCAATTATGTCAGGATGAAACAACATATTGTAAGAAGTTTTTTTTTAGTCATTCTAAAGATAAGCCATGGTGTAGTGGCTAGACACTTGCCTGAAGATCCAAAGGTTGTGGTTTCAGGTCCTGTCAGAGAGTTTTAAAAAAAAAAATTACCTTGGCTCCAAGGTCGACCCAGCTTTAAATGGGTTCTGAGGAACGTCCTGAAAAGTAAAGATGGCTGGCTTGGTGTTGACCAACAACATCCACTGAGTGCCGATTGGTCTATAAAATATAGCTCTAGCCCTATATGCCCAATACGCCTGAAGGCACGAAAAAGGTCCTTTCCTTTTTTTAAAAATTTTATTAAAGATAAACATGAGGTTCTTGTCTACTGTCACAGATTGAGTTTACTTTCATTCATACATTGTCCAATTGTGCCGCTGCATATCACACATTGCTCGCAGTCTGTTTTCTCCACTCTGTTAGATCCTGTGCAATCAGCCTCTCTCATTAATGTCCACCCTGGCATTTGTCTTGAACGACCTCATTTTCTCTTCTTGTTTATTTTTCCCCCCTTTTTTTTCATCATGGTTTTCTGTATTTGTCTTGCACTTCTCTGGTGGCTTCTGTATTTGTCTTGCACTTCTCTGGTGGCTTCTGTATTTGTCTTGCACTTCTCTGGTGGCTTCTGTATTTGTCTTGCACTTCTCTGGTGGCTTCTGTATTTGTCTTGCACTTCTCTGGTGGCTTCTGTATTTGTCTTGCACTTCTCTGGTGGCTTCTGTATTTGTCTTGCACTTCTCTGGTGGCTTCTGTATTTGTCTTGCAACTTCTCTGGTGGCTTCTGTATTTGTCTTGCACTTCTCTGGTGGCTTCTGTATTTGTCTTGCACTTCTCTGGTGGCTTCTGTATTTGTCTTGCACTTCTCTGGTGGCTTCTGTATTTGTCTTGCACTTCTCTGGTGGCTTCTGTATTTGTCTTGCACTTCTCTGGTGGCTTCTGTATTTGTCTTGCACTTCTCTGGTGGCTTCTGTATTTGTCTTGCGTTAAAAGATTAATTCATTTTCAATTAATTTGTAATGCAAAATGTATCATGTCTGATCCCAGGACTGGAAATATCATCCCATCATAACCATATCATCATTGTTATTATCTTATTTGTCAAGAAAATCACCATAATGCAATCACGAACATAATTAACATACCATTGCGGATGCTATCATCATCACGAACTCATTATCACATCAACAACATAACCATCCTCTCATCACAAACATTATCACTATTTTCCTTTCATCACGAACGTACTGTTTGTGTCTGCATTTTTAAAATTCATCACAGGGAAAACATTGTTTTGAACACCTACCTGGCAGTCTAATAGCTCGGGGTGCAGCCCGAGGACCACCTGAGTGGACAGCCGCTGCTTGCTGCATGAGCTGAGCCATGACGGTACCCTCAGCTCCTGTCATCCCTGCCACACTGGTCAGTGCCACAAACTTGCCCCCAGAGTGATTAGCCGCAGAAGTGAGGCTTGCTATTCCCTCTTGTGACAGCATCAGTGAGGTCTGCTTTAAACCTGTTGCTGGCTTTGACGAAGGCACTGAAATCTGGTTTTTAGAGATAGCCATATTCGGTGGTGGGGTCTGCCTCGCTGTCATCGTAAATGTCTGTTTCGGGACTGTGGGTGTGGATTTTCCTAGCGTTGCTGAGTTAGCATTTGCGGCTACGGTTTGTCCAACGGCAGCTACAAGGGCAGCATTCTGCTTCAGGACGCTTTGAGATGCAGCCTGTTGCTGCTGCTGCTGCTGTTTTAGAAGCTGATGACTGGGCAACATACTGATAGTGGGTATTGTTGACGGCCTAATCTGGTTAGATTGTGCCTGAGAGGCGTTCATTGTGGTAACCAAACTAAAAGTTGCTGCAGTTGTCACTGGCGTGCAGCCTGTCTTTTGGATCTTCCCAGCCGATAAAGCCGACTGGCTGAGCCCTGGTGAGTACAACAACTGTGCCGCTAAAGAAGACGTCACATTCAGCCCTACTGAGGTAACTGTCAATACCGACGTCGTCACATTGGTGGTCGCAGATGCAGTCAGATTCTGCGTGCTAGTCAGTTGTTTTATTGTTTGTTTACCCAATGGGGTAGCAGCAGACTTTGACATGGCTGCCTGGGTTGCTCGTAACTGGGCAATCGTAGGTGAAAGACTGGTGCTGCTTACTGTGCTGCCAGGTAATGATGTCTGCACAAGAGGAGCTGGCGCCTTGCCTAGCTTCCCTGTTAGTAAAGAGGCTGGCTCTGGTGTGACAGATTTTGCGGGTGGTGGTGCTGGAGAGGGCAGAGTAGACAGTGTCACCGGAGATTTGCTTGGAGTCAATGCTGGGGTCAGTTGAGTTACCGGGGTGGTGGAGGGTTGGGATGGTGAATCTTTGACCTAAAATTAAACAAGATATCACTAATAAAACTATCAACACATGTGAAAGGGTTGAAAGAAAATAGTCCCACAGCCATTAGAACAGAGGCTTACAACCTTTTTTCAATGTTGCAACTAGCATTTTTAGAGGCAAAGTGATACGCACTATCATTCATTAAAAACAGGCCTTTTAAAAGGAAACAACATTAAAAAAAGACTTTTCATCATAATGCAATTTTTTTTTATGTTAACTTATAACATATTTAATGTGATTATTGAAAATGTAAGTCACTAAAAAGCTTATCATGTTTGTGGCTGAGTTTCATTAAAGCCAGGCTCATGTCATTCTCATTATTTAATCCGTTTCCTGTTTTGGTTTTTAAATGAAGAAGTGTTGAAGATCAGTGTCGCAGCTCATCATTGCCAGGTGACCCCAACAAAAACCTGTTGAGCTCGCGACCCATGGGTTAGGAACCTGTGCTTTAGGGTGTTTAATGTTAACAAGCAAAGTAAATAAATGGTCCCTTTGCACGCCAGTGGCACCTCAGGTATATGAGACTAGACTAGCCGTCCACCTTTACTTCCCATTTCTTCACCTGGTACCCATTTAAGGTTGGGTTGACCTGGGAACCAGGGTTATGCTTGGGGAAAAAATATCCAGTTCTATGAAGGTTTGAACCCACAACCTTCAGACGAGCAGTTAGCCGCTTCACCACAGCGGCTCCCTGTTAAATATTAGGCCTTCGCATATTCAAGGCAAAAAATATGTGATACGGTGACCAGTTGCCTTCCTAATTGTCTTTGCTTCCCAGAGTTCCAAGAAAACTATAAATTTTGATGTCCCAATTTCACAAGCCCTGGTCAAACCCACAGCTGTTCTAAAAGGCGGCTTCAAGTCAGTTAGCTGTGTATCCTTTACATGACGTCGCAGAACCAACCCCAGCATGGTTTTGGTTGTCGTGGTTCCTCTAGGCATATTCTATGTTTAGTAGTTTGTCACTGCTTCTGAGCGGTCAGCTCTCAGTACCACTGTCAAAACCAACGCAAGATATTCTACTCTAAATGACCTCAAGTGAGAACCTAAAAATTTGACAGAAATTACAATAACCATGCCACTGTTATGTTGTAATCTGCTGTCAATATTTGTTGCTAAGGATGTCAAGAGTGTTAAGCATGTGACAAAACGATACAGATGAACACATTGACATCATAATGACATTTAAAGATGGCTGCAGCCCGGCTCACTAGCGCAGTTGGTTAAAATCCTCTGCGTGGTGACTGGATGCCGAACTCCTTGTGGTACGGGTTCATGCCCTGGGGTTGGCAGAAAAGAAACACTTCTCTCAGATTTACGGTATCTATCATGGAATCAAGGCCGAAGGGTTGCGATATCCATAGTACCGAGCCAAAGGGTTTACAACTCATGGTTTCTATATACTAGAAACATTTATTTTTTTTGGATGGCTGACCTATTTCTGACATGCACCTAAGAAAAGCAGCGTTCAATTATCATTTTTTTTTTTTAATCAGTGAAGGACTGAAGGTGTTAAACTATTGAAATTAATCAGCGAACAAATGTCCAGTCAGGGGCCTAACACTCTGGACAACCTTAACAACAAAACTGACAGATAACAAAACAATGGCATGAATATTTTCCACTTCTATCACACTTTCAAAAAAATAATCCTGGCACTTCTGGTGAACCTACAACACTGTCTTGACAGACCAGTACACTCACAACTGGTGAACCTAGAGCACTGTCTTGACAGACGAGTACACTCACAACTGGTAAACCTAGAGCACTGTCTTGACAGACGAGTACACTCACAACTGGTGAACCTAGAGCACTGTCTTGACAGACGAGTACACTCACAACTGGTGAACCTAGAGCACTGTCTTGACAGACGAGTACACTCACAACTGGTGAACCTAGAGCACTGTCTTGACAGACGAGTATACACTCACAACTGGTGAACCTAGAGCACTGTCTTGACAGACGAGTATACACTCACAACTGGTGAACCTAGAGCACTGTCTTGACAGATGAGTACACTCACAACTGGTGAACCTAGAGCACTGTCTTGACAGACGAGTACACTCACAACTGGTGAACCTAGAGCACTGTCTTGACAGACGAGTACACTCACAACTGGTGAACCTAGAGCACTGTCTTGACAGACGAGTACACTCACAACTGGTGAACCTAGAGCACTGTCTTGACAGACGAGTACACTCACAACTGGTGAACCTAGAGCACTGTCTTGACAGACGAGTACACTCACACCTGGGGCTTCTGTGACAAGGTGGTAAATATTTAAAGCTATGCAGTACTGTGTTGTGTCGCAAATAAAGTAAAGAAAGTAAAGGGTCCTTTCCACGCCTGAAGACATATTGGGCATATAGGACTTGACCTATATAGTATAGACCAATCGGTACTTGGTGTAATATTGAAGATCAAATATTACCTTGGACATTAGGTATTAATTAATTAATTTCTTTAACACCCAGATTTCCTAGAGTCACGAAAGCTCTACTTGTAGTGTTATTTTAATTCTTGTTGCCTAAAAAATGTTGAATGTTGAATTAAGAATCGACATCACAGCGCTCTGGACACTCCCATGAGCGCTCTGTCCCCATCTTCAGCAGCAAGCGAAGGGTTAAAAATCCGATGGTACCAGTAACAGTCTGATTGTATGTCCGTTTCGCCCCTCCCCCGAGTGTCGGCCGTAGGCCAGATCCCCTTGTAACTCCTCTCAGTACCATTCTCCTCAGACCGTAATGATCTATCTGTTCCTTAGCACTGTTCACTCGCTCCTAAAGGGCCCTCACAACATCCAGCTTGTTGCACATCAGTTCACCACCAAGTGGTGCAGAACCGGCCAGACTATCCGCCTGCTCATTTCCCAACACAGCGGCGTGACCTGAAGAAAATATTCAAAGGATGCTAACTACCCTGGACCTCTGAAGTGATGCTTGCCACTCTGCACGGAGAATGCCTGTCGCCACCTTTCTCAGCATGCTCTGTGACTCAGTTACAATGACAATGTTGCCTAAAAAAGATGTATGATTGCACCACTTGAAATGGAAGGTTAATGGTGTGAATTTACTCAAAAATTCCTTCCATTATTACTGTATATTTTACAAGCGGTGAAGTAAAAAGTTACTTATCACTATACAAGAGTCAAACGATATCTACCGCGCAGTTATTTTTTATTTCTACCAGATAGTGCATCACAGAGAGCCCTGTCGCTTAGACATTATGAAAGAAGAGCTAGAGGTCGACTACAAAAACGATGAATCGGTGGACCATCCAAGGCCATAAATAATGGTATCTACAAAGCACATACGAAGGCACGCACCTGATGCCTCTTCAAAACCTGACACTGAAAGGCAAAACAAAAAGAAGAAGAAGAAGTTATAAAAATCATTATTATATGTAGCAAGTCCTTTGGTGAGTGTCGCGCTTATCATGGTCTGCCTGACAGAAACTTGGTTTCTCGTCAGCTCTCCCACCTCATATACCGTATTCAAGGAGTCACTTATATCCGGTGCCCATCTTCGTGTTGGTTGACCCCTGCTCTTCCTTCCTGGTGTCATGCCTTCTGCTATTACTTTTTTCCAATCCGCCATGGCACTTGATATGAGCCAAATATTTCAGTTTCTTATCACTATACATCTTATTATTATTATTATTATTTTACTACAACTAGTGCAAGACCAGTACGAGAGCCATGTTGTGCTACCACTGCTGGTTTCTTCTCCTTGCTGCTGCCTGAAGGTCTGACACCAAGATTACAAAATCTCAATCCTGATGGCAGACCAATAGACAAACCCCAGATATCCCATTCAACCTCTCAAAAAGTTTTAACTGGGGCACCTGTAATGGCTACAATAGCCCAGTGTACCAGCTCTTCATTTATGGTAGCCTCTTTGGATTCCCCCCCCCCCCTCCCAAAAAAAGTGTCTCAGCCGAAGGGCACCAATATCACTATAAACAGGCACAATTTTGAAATGTCATTCAGAAGAACAATGAAGAAGATGGTGTAACCACTCTGAACAAAGCCATAAAAATAAAATACTGACTACAATTGGAAGCCGCCATCATGTAGCGGCTAGATCAGGGCTATTCAACTGGCCTCCCTCTGGCCAAATGTGGCTGGAGTGTAGCAAGTATCCGGATCATTGCCATTTCTATTATGTTAATGATCTTCTATGTCAGGGCTTAGACCTCTGGCCTGCGACACACCTATTTTCACAATTTTGGCTCCTGAGTAAATTTAGTTAAAAACTGCTCTGGGCTAGATACTAGCCTGCATGGGTTCAAATCTAAACAGACCCTGGATTTTTTTTTTTTTTTTTTTAATGACCTCGGCTCCCAGGTTCGCCCAGCTTTAAATGGGTGCCAGATAAAGTCCTGGAAAGTAAAGGTGGTCAGTGTGATATTGACCATACAACCTACCAAGTGCTGATTAGTCTATAAAATATAGGTCTAGTTCTATGGGCATAATTCACCTGCAGGCGTGCAAAAAGGGTCCTTTACTTCACTTCACTATAACAAAAATTAAAATCAGCGAATCAGCCATGTGCACATGTGGATTGGCCCATGAGGCAACAGATCATGTCCTCCTTGACTGTCCCAAAATACAACATATCAAGGCAAAACTTTTGGGTACTTAATTTATAACTTACCCCTGACGTCACGACAACGTCACGGGCGACATTCCCAATACATTCTAGGGTGTTCCGGTTGTAGTTTCTCGCAATTTCTCTACAGCCAAGTTTAGGGTTAGGGTTAGAAGACACTAGATGAACACTCAAAACCAGCACCACACAACAGCACACTTGCACCCCTTGAAATAATGGACTGTCAGGTCAGCTGTGGATTTCCCACGGGAATTTCGTGTTTGGGGTACGTTATAAATTAAGAACCAACTTTTGGCCAAGAGAAACATCGGTGCAAGTCAAACTTTACGGGGCGCTGAGTGAATTATAAAAGACAGTGAGGTTTATACTAGAGACAACGTTGCAGATATAGATAATTTATTTCAAGCGAACGAAATAAGAAGAAGAACTTCACTTTACTAACTACAACATTAGAACACTTACTACTTTAGATGTCTTTGGGCGAGTCAATGTTTTCTTGGCTTTCACTGCTGCAGCTTGTGCCTGATGGATCCTCTCTGAAAATATGGAGGAATAATGTTGCGTAACAATTCTTTTAACAAGAAGATGATTATGTTTCGGCCGCCTGCAAAATAGAACATATGTATGGACCATTTATCATATTTTCAACAATAATGCAATGAATCTCTGGGCTCTAATCTTGCAGCCTGCTCGGACATATTGACAAATACTTGAATACAGCAAGCTTGAAATATTAAGAGAACATTAGGCCACTGACAAATGTACGTTTACTGCTCCAACGATGTTCCTCTTGGTCGATGTGCCAGTTTTGCTGTCTAGGGCAGTGATTCTCAAACTGTGCCCCGCGGCTCCCCAGGGAACAGTGACCTCTTCACAGCGGTGCCGCAAAATATTCAAAGATACACAAGTTGTTTTTTATCTCTTACATACAAATAGTCATACTTTTACTTAGGTTAGAGCGCTGTGGAAAATTTTAATTGCAAAAAAACACTGCGCCTAAGACAAGTTTGGGAAACACTGGTCTAGGGTAATAGCTATTGCCAAATAAATTCATTTACTGTCATTATATCTGGATATTTCTCAAGTTCAGCATATCTCATGACTGCATTTCAACACTTATTAGAACCTCATCGACTTTATTCAATGCTTTTTTTTTGTGGGGTTTTTTATTACTACTAATACTGCAACCGTGTGATGGCCCTCAGGTCTTGAGTGCAAATCAGAAGAACACGCAAATTTGGGGGGAGGGGGGGAAACTGACCTTGGCTACCAGGTCAATCTAGCTTAAATGTATATTGAAACATGTCCTAGGAAGTAAAGGTCATCGTGATGTTGATCAGATCACCCATCCGGTGCCTCCCATTTTACTTCTTACTTTTTTTTTTTTACTGAATAACTAGTACAGTGCCCAATCTATATCTGCATGTTAGCTATTTTTATCTGGTTCTACCTTAGATAATTAAGCATCCTACACTGGTTTCCCCTCTATGGCTGCATGTGTATATGTGTCTGTCTGTGGCTGTGCGTGGCTTTGTGTGTATCTGTGTGAGTCTCTATCGGTGAGTCTATTATAAAATGTCTGCGTGTCACTGCTTGTGTCGGGTTATGCGTCTGCGTGTATGCCTGTGTGCGTATCTGTGACTGCGTTTGTTTTAGAGCGTGTGTATGAGTGTGTGCGTGCATGCGTGCGTGTGTGTGTGTATGTATGTATTATGTGAGTTTGTATGTATGTATGTATATGTGTGTGTGTGCATGTTCGTATGTATGTGGATGTATGTGTGTACAACTGCTGTGTGAAGGATGGAAGTTTGGAAGGGTCGAATTTAAGACAGGCCTGCGTGCCTAATTTGTAACCCTTTGAAAATAAAGTTTGTTCGTTCTATTTTAACAATCTTTCTTGTTTCAATCTTTGTGATTATCAAATTCAGACACTTAGAAAAGTAAAAGCACCTCCCACGGCACATACTACAGTGATACATTTTTACAAATTTTTCTTATTTCTTCTTTCTTAGTTGCACCCCAGAGGACATCACACATGCGATAAACACCAGGTGACACAAAGTGAAATCATGCGGATGAGGATCGCCAGTGGAGAGGTCCTAGAAACCCCTTTCAGCCGTTGGGCCACATATTTATGGCCCGGCTATATTCAGGGCTCCCGGAAGAAGCCAGGAGGGGCTTCAAATAATGAAAAATTGCATCCCACATGGGGACGACTGGGTTAACTAATATTTTTTACACAATCTAGGTCTCATTAAAAGTCTATGGTTAAGCACCAGCATAGAAACTGGGTCAACATTTTAAGGACATGAATCATCAATTTAGCAAAATACGGATTTGAGTCATGCACTATCTCGTAGACACTGAGAGTGAAAATAGGGGCTTTTAAACTGAAATGCTACACAATGATTTTGAGAATATCTTGGGCGAAGAAGAAAAGAAATACTTACTTCCTAAAAGATCCCAACATCAAGAAAGAGTCGCTAGTCAACAGAATCTTGTCTTGAAAAATAAAATATTTTAGCCATATAAAGCGCAGATCTTAGAAAGAATAGCAGCAGAAGGTACTGGGATAGGAAGGAAGCGCAGGGGTCAACCAGCGGGAAGATGGGCACATGATATAATTATTCAGTGACACCTTGGGTAGGAAACTGCACAACGAGGTGGGAGCTCTGCGGTGAGACCAAGCTGCGTTCAAGCAAGCTGTGAGGAGAGCAACATTCTGCAAGGGACCTTCTCCATGATGATGATGTAAACATGCTGAATGAAACTTGGCACCCCAAAAAAAATGCAACTTGCAAATTTACAAGCAATGTCAATTGTGATCACCAAACATTTGATGCGGGTAAGTCACACTAAACTTCTCTTCTTCTTCTTCTTCGTGTTCACCCGCTGTAAACTCTGGCAGAAATTTCTGGGTTTTCGTCCACTTCTGAACTACCCCTCGTTCCAGAATTTGAATTTTCCATGCACATCCATTTTACAGATCTGGTTTACTTGTATGCAGACTGTCGGTTCCTTGCCTCTCAGTCAGATGCGCTCCAACTTCAGAAGAATAATTCCTAATTATTTATCTTTTTTAAAAAAATGAGGCCCCAGAACCAATACTGGGATTATACACTAAACAATATTTACATGCTGTTTCTTCATTCCTGTTTCAAGGTTCAAGTCAAGAGGATCTTTTACAGCTCTGTCTTTCTCCACAGAACCGCTAGCTTCTGCTGAGAGCATTCACAAAGCACGAACTCTGTAGCTCCAGCGATTATCCCCACAGATCTCAATAAAACCTGTTGTGTGCATTGTACGCCGCGCTAACTATTCTGTTTGATGCTAGGTTTTGCTTTTTTTTTTTTAAACTTCCAGATTTCCTAGTGCTATCAAAGCTTCTCTTCTTGTCTTTTGTGCTCTTGTTTAAATACTGGTGTTCCAACAACATTATCTAGATTGCTGCTTATAAAAGAAATGGAAGACAGCAAAAGAGAAAGTAAGACAGGGAAACACAGAATGTGAAGAAAAAAAAGCAACAAGAGAGACGAATAGAAAAGAGAAGGAATGGGAGAGGTGGAAGAAAAAGAAAGAGAGAAATAAACAGCAAAAATAAAGAGAGAAAGAGGTGATGGGAGGAAGACAGAGAGAGGACTGATATAGGGGTGGGAGGAGGGGCTATAAAAAGAAAGAAGAAAGACAAGGGCTGAGGGGAAACAGCTAGCAAAACAGCAACATAAACAGCAAATACTTTAAACTTGAACATACCAAATTCATCCTCTGTTCGATTACGATGCAAATAAATCCACAACTTTCGACTGACATCGTACTTGACACAAGGATCTTTCTCTGAGTGAAGTCTGTCCAGTGCACCACTAACAACGGCGTTAATCTGTTGATTGGGTACAAATACACAGGTTAAATACACGGCGTTAATCTGTTGATTGGGTACAAATACACAGGTTAAATACACGGCGTTAATCTGTTGATTGGGTACAAATACACAGGTTAAATACACGGCGTTAATCTGTTGATTGGGTACAAATACACAGGTTAAATACACGGCGTTAATCTGTTGATTGGGTACAAATACACAGGTTAAATACACGGCGTTAATCTGTTGATTGGGTACAAATACACAGGTTCAATACACGGCGTTAATCTGTTGATTGGGTACAAATACACAGGTTAAATGCTATGCTCAATAAAATCTCTAACATATTTTAAACACATGGTGTGTGTTTTGTCCGCTTTTCTTTTGCCGTAAAGCGCTGCAGGGAGGATATACGATGTAGTTTCCTGTCTTTTGCTTGCTGCATAACGTGTTTTAATGTCATACTGCGTTTCTGTAGTGTCTCTTTTACTCCCTCCACCCATCCATTTCTTGGTCCGCCACTTGCACGCTAACGCACACAAACACACAATCATAAATAAAAGAAGAAAACAACATTGGTAGGGTCAAAAAGTTACCAGAACTGATGCAATTGCATACATATCGTGTATTTTTTACATTAAGTATAATAATTATAAGTATATAGATTTAATTTTTGTTGTTTTATGTATAATTTGTATAACCAGCAAATGAAAATAGTGTCAAAAAAATTAAGGTTTGACTTACAACCTGATAGCCAGAATGGAATTAATACAAAATATAACTAAAAGCTAGAGAAAAGGCAGTCACATACAAATGCAAGAAATCATTTCCAGCAGTCTTCATCAATGCAAGGCAAGATTAAGGATGAAGAAAAAGGAAGAGAAACCAGGAAGGTGGAGACAAGAGAATGAAGCAGAAGGCAGAGGTAAAGAAGAAGCAGACGAAGAAAAGTCAGAAGAAAAGATATTCCTTGCAAGTAAACACGTTTCTCTTACTTGAGTTTCTGTCACTGCAGGGGCCAGAAACTGAGAGTCTTTCAGAAGTTCACAAATATCACCTCTCGTCCCTTCACCGTTGGGTAGTCGAGCTGCTGCATCTCTAACTAGAAATATAAATTTTACTTTACAGTTACACATATTTTTCAAAGAGTGTTTGGAAAAATAAAGGGTGTTTAAAAGGATAAATAGATTCACCACAAGCAAGCCTTCTAAATGATGCATACATTTTGTACCCCGGGTAGTTTTTACTTGATTGTCAAGAGCTATATAAACCCTACTTTGATATATGGAAGTGAATCATGGACAGCTGGATGATAAGGGTAAAATTATTTGGAAGAGACAAAAATGATGATTTATAGTCAAATGATGAGAATACCCTGGACAGATTTTTGTTTTAAAGTAATAAAGATGCCTTGAAAGAAACTGACTCATAAAGAGTACTGATTGCCCACATCAGAAAGGTGATAATCAACATTCTTTGGTTATGTCATAAGGAGGAGAAAACTGGAGTACATCGTGGGAAAGCTGGAGGGGAAAAGAGGTTGACAGAGTCCAAGAGAGAAGATGATGGACAGTCTGACATCATCACACGGAAGAGCATCTGTGTCAGAACTGACTGAAAGTACACGAGACAGAAGGTTGTGGACAGCCATGACTACCAACGCCACACAGCATGGACTAGAAGAAGTTTTTACTCAACTCATTCTGTCCTAAGAGGCTGTACTTAGAAATCTACAAATGGCTGAGTCTTTGGTGTTTAACAAGTGGTACACAGAGCCAAACGCACTGATGGCACACAGAGCCAAACACACTGATGGCACACAGAGCCCAAAGCTGTTAAAACAATCTAAATAACATGAGTTATATTTCACAAATAACTGTGATAGAAAGTTGTTTTGTTTGTTTGTTCGTGTTCACCAGCTGTAAACTCTGGTGGAAAGTTTTGGTTGTTGGTCCGTTTACAAAATTAATATTTTATTTGGAATGACACATAAATCTATCATGATTTGTTTGGTACCTAAAGAGTTAAGAAATTAACAGCCACATTTAAATCCAGTTAATAGTTAAATATTCTTTGTCTGTGTTTATAGTGATCGATTTATAATGAGATTCATCCTTCTTCTTCTTCTTCATGTTCACCAGCTTTAAACTTAGGCAGAACGGTCTGGTTGTTTATCCCCTTCTGGACTCTGAGCTAATTCCAGAACTTAAGTTTTATGTGCACATCCATTTTAGAGATCAGGCTTACATGTATGTATGCAGAAGGCTGGTTCCTCACCTTTCAAGCATATGCACTCCGACTTTGAAAGGAAACACCCCTAATTAGACGCCTCCTAAAACAAGCCTGTTGGGGAGAAGGAAGAGGTGGGGCAGAGAGTCTACTTTTTTCCCCCCAAAATTGAGCCCCAGAACCCACACAGGTTACCATTCTGACATGTCGGGTTCCAATCAGCTGCAGGTGAACTGGCAGCAAACTGTTTTGCATTCATTTCAGCAAAGGAATGAGAGTCAACCATGGAGAAAGCAATGGAAAAACTACTGAACATAAAACTATCTAGTAAAACTATAAACAGCAAACAAATGCTGAAACTGGTATGGAACTAACTAGAAACATTCTTAACTCTTTCAGGACGACATTTATTCTGGGATCGGAACAATATTAATTTTGAGCTGAATTTTTATACAGCAACATGACAAAGCTAAAACCTTCCTGAAGAAATAAAACTGACTCTATTACCATTATTATAACTATTATTATTAGCACCCTTCCGCCTTTCCAGACGATACTGTTATATTACACAATAAGGAGGCGTGGGACTCAAGTCCATTGTGGTGGCGAGTGTGACTAGCGAGACCGGCCCAGATAAAGAAAAGTCTTTCCCAATTGTTGTCAACATTTGGGTTTAGTGTGTTTCTCTTCAGACGCTCAGCTCTCATCCTTTCTGCGGTCATTTTTTTTCTTCATTCTCATTCCCTTCCTGCTATGATTTTTTTTTTCAGCAACATGACAAAGCTAAAATGTTTCCTGAAAAAAAAAGTACTGGCTTTATAGTGATACATAATATATCAAATTAAAGTGAAATGAATAGAGAATACATTTAAAAACTTTACAACAATAAAATAGTACATTGGAACAGCATTCAAGGAAGTTAGGCCCACACAAAGATTTTTTACACATAGAATTTTGTGCTTACCTTATTTTTTTTATTTGATCAAAAGCACTGCTATCCAATTCTAAGAATTCATATGCTTCTCTATTTAATTATGCATCAGCCAGTTTTTATTTGAGACAATTAGTCTAAATACTTTGGATTTTATTACCATATTTGTCTGACGTGTCAAATTTCACAAACAAATTCCGGACACAGCCGATCGAAACAGGGACGATCCAATTGAAATATTTTGTTAAACTTTATCCCAACCCATATTATCGTTAGCAGGTTTGGCATTTGCATTATTAATCATAATGTCTAGACTACTGTCACTATCTGGTTCAGATTATCATGTCTAGACTACTGTCACTATCTGGTTCAGATTATCATAATGTCTAGACTACTGTCACTATCTGGTTCAGATTATCATGTCTGTCTAGACTACTGTCACTGTCTGGTTCAGATTATCATAATGTCTAGACTACTGTCACTATCTGGTTCAGATTATCATGTCTAGACTACTGTCACTGTCTGGTTCAGATTATCATAATGTCTAGACTACTGTCACTATCTGGTTCAGATTATCATGTCTAGACTACTGTCACTATCTGGTTCAGATTATCATAATGTCTAGACTACTGTCACTATCTGGTTCAGATTATCATGTCTAGACTACTGTCACTGTCTGGTTCAGATTATCATAATGTCTAGACTACTGTCACTATCTGGTTCAGATTATCATGTCTAGACTACTGTCACTATCTGGTTCAGATTATCATAATGTCTAGACTACTGTCACTATCTGGTTCAGATTATCATGTCTAGACTACTGTCACTATGTGGTTCAGATTATCATAATGTCTACACTACTGTCACTATCTGGTTCAGATTATCATAATGTCTAGACTACTGTCACTATCTGGTTCAGATTATCATAATGTATAGACTACTGTCACTATCTGGTTCAGATTATCATAATGTCTAGACTACTGTCACTATCTGGTTCAGATTATCATAATGTCTAGACTACTGTCACTATCTGGTTCAGATTATCATAATGTCTAGACTACTGTCACTATCTGGTTCAGATTATCATAATGTCTAGACTACTGTCACTATCTGGTTCAGATTATCATAATGTCTAGACTACTGTCACTATCTGGTTCAGATTATTGTAATGTATAGACTACTGTCACTATCTGGTTCAGATTATCGTAATGTCTAGACTACTGTCACTATCTGGTTCAGATTATTGTAATGTATAGACTACTGTCACTATCTGGTTCAGATTATCGTAATGTATAGACTACTGTCACTATCTGGTTCAGATTATTGTAATGTATAGACTACTGTCACTATCTGGTTCAGATTATCGTAATGTATAGACTACTGTCACTATCTGGTTCAGATTATCATAATGTCTAGACTACTGTCACTATCTGGTTCAGATTATCATAATGTCTAGACTACTGTCACTATCTGGTTCAGATTATCATAATGTCTAGACTACTGTCACTATCTGGTTCAGATTATCATAATGTCTAGACTACTAACACTATCTGGTTCAGATTATCATAATGTCTAGACTACTGTCACTATCTGGTTCAGATTATCATAATGTCTAGACTACTGTCACTATCTGGTTCAGATTATCATAATGTCTAGACTACTGTCACTATCTGGTTCAGATTCATCAACAAAAGCAGCAGTATGGACAGTTCTAGATCTTTCCCCTTATTTAGTCTAAAAAAATCACATAAAAATTGCTTCATACTGATTTAATATAAAAGCAAATTTTTTTTTTTTAATTAAGCCTATCACCTCACCATGCTTGGAAAACAATAATACTTCCCTTTGCTAATTCTAGGCTTGCAAAACATATTCATAAAAATGCATTTCCCTAGCAAAGAAAACAATATTAGAGTGTCTATGGCCATAGCCAGTTAAGTGATGATATGTCCAAACCTGATGGGTTCAGCAGCCATTTAACTCTTTCAGTCCCAGGGGTTTAGCATCAGAGGCCCAAGGGGTAGTCAAGAGTTACGTACATATGGTGCATCTTGCATTCAATGGGCTTCTAGGTAGGAACCTACAAACTCATGATGTGTTCCTTGGGACTGAAAGAGTTAAATGGCGAAATGCCCTCAAAGAGTTACATTTCTTCAAACTGGTGATTTTGACATTTTAATATTCTTACCCAATGTAAGAATGGTGACAAAAGGTGGCCGGTCTGACACCAGTAGATTGTGCTCTCTGGCCTTGTTGGTTCCGCTGTCTTTATCATAGACTCCTTTAACTGGGCCGACCACTGAATCATAACCATGCATCATGAAGGTGTAAGCTTTATGGGGGGCAGCAAACCTACGGCGCTCCTGTTATCAAACATAAAGTTACAAGTTGAGAGGACTGACTTCAATGCATCAGGTTTTTATCTCAAATGGCTCCACCTCTTTCTGCAGAACTGCAAACCGCCTGCTGGCAGTGTTGCACAAAGCATGTACTTTCCATACCTTCAGGGGTATAGAGCATATAGGGCTAGACCTATATCTTATAGACCAATCAGCACTCTGTGGATGATGTGGTCAACATCCCGCCGGCCGTGTTTACTTCCCAGGAATTTACCTGGTACCCATTTAAGGTTGGGTCGACCTGGAAACCTATGTCATTATGAAAACGTCCAGCTCTATCAGGACCTGAATCCACCACCTTCAGATCTGCAGGCGAGCTTCTAGCCACTTCACCACGGCAGCTACTTGAATAATATGAGGGCAAGGAATAAACAAACAAATAACTTTATTTTCAAGGCACACAGGTGTGTTTGACATTCTGCCTTTCTGACCTTACTACTTCCATACATCATTCATACATCTTTTAACAGGCAACAATAAACATCACGGACAACAACCAGCTAAAGAAATGCAGTAGATGACCCAAAAAATAGAATGACCTGGCAATAGTTGGCTCAGGCATTATGCTATAAAAGGAGGGGGAAAGCAGAGAAAGACACACAGTATCATCGGTCTATGTAATAGGTGTTTCGGCCTTTTTAGGATAAAATTTTTTTTATTTGAAGCCCCACCCTCGTTTTGCAAGGAGCCGCAATATAGGCAGGCCATAATATGGCCAATTGTCTGAACGCGGTTTCTGGGACCTCTCCACGGCGATCCTCGTCCACATGGTGGCACTTTGTGTCATCGGGTGTTTATCGCTTGTGTGATGTCCTGGTGGGGTAGAAAGTCAGTCAGTCAGTCAGAGAAAGACACACAGCCACAAAGAAACAAAACTTGGTGTGAACACGCCGCCAACAAAATCAAACTCAAGCAGGTTAGCCAAAAGACTCTCTTCAATATAACAGGCCATCAGGCAGTTCAAAGAGGAGAAAGCTTGTAATTTTCGTTTACCAGGAAATCGCCAATAGAGAAAGACACCGAAAATTAACAAAAGGCTAGCGAACGGCACTGAAGAATTCATATTTTAATTAACCGCGGGTATTCAGTTATAGAACAATCTGACTTGTCTTCAGTTGCTACTCACTCAACCAAACCAGTGATTCAGTCCATTTGAGCCTGACTTAGGCTCCAAATAGCTGGCTACGTTTATCTCTTTCATGCATCTTCACTCCCAATGAAAGTAATGCATAAATAAATGTGTGTGTGCCCACATGTTCCTGTGACCCTCATAGGAAACAAAGAATGGTAACACTGACTCTACCAAGCATGTCAAAAAGGCGGCAAAGGGAATGGTTTGGCTCTCATCCCGTTTTTTTTTTTTTTTTTAAACCAACCAACCATGGAAAAGTCATACAAAAAAGAAACAAACAGGGCCCAGCCAACCAAGATGAAAGAAGCTCTTTAATAGAAGTATGACGCGCCAGTGCAGAAAAAGCTAAAATGAGTCAGGATTGTCAACCAATCTCTTTTACAAAGGAAAAAAATGTGTGGAACCAGAAAAAATGTGTGGAACCAGAAAAAATGTGTGGAACCAGAAAAAAATGTGTGGAACCAGAAAAAATGTGTGGAACCAGAAACAATGTGTGGAACCAGCATCTAGAATGCTATAAGGTGACCAGAGGGAGCTAGAAAATGAAAGTTATAAGGACAGAGAGGACATGGGGTGAGTTGCATGCAATAGCAAAGGAAAGGAAGACTTGGTGTGAGTTGGTTGAGGGCCTTTGGTCCACTGAAATTTTTTTTTTTTTTTTTTTTTTTTTTTTTGTAAATGACCTTGGCTCCCAGGTCGACCCAGCTTAAAACGGGCACTAAGTCCTGGAAAGTAAAGGTGGTCAGCATAATGCTGACCACAGCTAGCATCAAATGCCCAATAAACTGCTGGCGTGAAAAGGGTCCGTAACTTTTTTTTTCATCATTATAAACCACTTGCTGTTAAGCGCCGTGGGGCGGAATAATTTGCGATCCAGTGCACGTCGGCTGCCACTGGCTATTGTCATGCCGTGAAGGCGTAGAGTGTCTTTAATGTTGTCTATCCATATTTCCACAGCCATCCTCTTGCTTATGCAGCTGATCTTCTGAGATGTAGTGCTTGTGATGGTATTTGATCTTGCTGCATTCTAGCCAGATGGCCAAACCAAAATTTGTTTTCTTAAATAATCTTCTTCTTCTTCACGTTCACCAGCTGTACACTCTGGCGGAAAGTTCTGGTTGTTCGTCCACTACTGAACTGCAGTCCTGCTCCAGAACCTGAGTGTTGCGTGTGCATCAGTTTTACAGATCTCATTCTCTCGAATACAGACTGTTGGTTCCTTGCCTCTCCGGCAGATGCACTCCGACTTCAAAGGAAGCTCCCCAATTAGTCGACTCTTACGACATGCTTTTAGGGAGGCAGTGGGTCTATTCTTGTTTTCCCCTACAATGGGGCCCCGGAACCCACACGGGGGGTCTTAAATAATAAAATGGATCCTTTCACAATTTTTTTTTACAAATACACGTAAAGAAACAAGCATCACTCTAATGGGTACTATCATCTGACTGAACGAAAACACAAAAGATTCCCTACTCACACACATATACCCAAAGTCGCTTCCTCTCCTGCAGCAAATGTCTTCAGGTTTAAATGTTAACTGTTCCCGTAGCACATTGATTATATACATGTCATTCCCTTCGTCTCATATGCTCCTCCTTGTCGGATCCACTCTTATTTCTTCATTCACACATTCTTAAACACACTATTTCATCTAATCGCCTGTCTTCTATCAACATTAGTTCATATATGGTCTTCAGAATGTCTCCCTTGTCTAGTAGGAGTGTTCCCGTAGCAATTGCCTTTTGTAGCCAGAAAATCTGCTCTTTTCATTCGCCCGCACTCCTGCATACCCCAGACAGTATATCCAGGTGGTTTTTTGCAATGTTGGCGTACTGATACTCACAAATAGATAAATAAAACAATAATTTACTCACCTGTTCTCTAAACAAAGCTTTTTCATTGTTTGAAGTGGGCCTAACAATGAAATTGGTCTTGCTGAAAATGAAAACACAAAAATAATTAAGAACAATAACTTAATTAATATTCATGGGCATATAAATATATGTCTACCTGCACTCCTATACCTGGCCACATTTGTTTATTTTGGCTATTCTTGCACTCCTATACCCGGCCACATATGCTTATTTTGGCTATTCTTGCACTCCTATACCTGGCCACATATGCTTATTTTGGCTATTCTTGCATTATTTTACCTGGCCACATATGCTTATTTTGGCTATGTACAAGAAAATCACACAGTTACTTTTCTTCTTCTTAATGTTCACCCACTGTAAACTCCAATAGAAAGTTCTGGTTGGGCATCTGTAATGCATCCACTTCCATTGTTCAATGCTAGGAGGTGTTTTTTTTTTTGGGGGGGGGGGGTGTTAAATTAGGGGGAAAGTTAAACTCGAGAGGGTTGACGTCACTGCATGTTTTATCCCCATATGGCTTGATCTCTTTCTGCCAAGAGTGTGGCACAAAACATGAACAGTGTAGTTTTGGCCACCATCTATGGGGGTCTCCCTAAAAACTGCACCGAATAAAGCAGGCCTTCGGAGAGTAAGGACAATGGTTTTACCATTTCACCGTGTACACCCCCCCCCCCTTCCGCAAATGATCTATAACAATAATGAACTGTTAAAATAATACCCTACTTATACCCCCTCATTCCCTATGTCAGCGTCTGTGGCTTAGGCATTGTGAAAGCGCTTCGTAATGTTAGGGTGCCGGGTTGGATCCCAGCTGCGGGCCTTGCGTCTTGTGTTGGTTTCGACAGGGGTGTCCAGAAAGCAATGACAAACTACGTAAATTTGCCTAGAAAAACCACAACACCCAAACCATGCTGGGATTGGTTCCGCAATGTCCTGTAAAGGGCACGCAAGTAACTTCAACTTATACCCCCCCACAGATTTGGGGGGTGGGGGTCCACTGTCCTGTAAAGGGCACGCAAGTAACTTCAACTTATACCCCCACAGATTTGGGGGTGGGGGTCCACTGTCCTGTAAAGGGCACGCAAGTAACTTCAACTTATACCCCTCACAGATTTGGGGGGTGGGGGTCCACTGTCCTGTAAAGGGCACGCAAGTAACTTCAACTTATACCTCCACAGATTTGGGGGTGGGGGTCCACTGTCCTGTAAAGGGTACGCAAGTAACTTCAACTTATACCCCCCACAGATTTGGGGGGTGGGGGTCCACTGTCCTGATAAAAAAGGCATTAAAAAGCAGTTAACTTTGGGTTTGTTATATTGGATTTGGGCCAAAAGGCAGATGTCACAGCCTAGCTGTAAACCACAAAACAATGTGTCAGTAGCCCTTTTAAGGGCAAATGCAGAGGAAAGAACATACTACAACTTACGCTTTGGGTGGCGGAGGCGAACCCTGGACTGTATCTATCCCATCGACGTTCACCTCATCCTTGTGCTGCAGCCAATATCGGAACAGGGAGGTAAGTTCTGGGTCTGAGTCACGTCCTACGCCAATCCAATTCCACTGCTGAGCCCTCTCCTTATAGTCTACGAAGGGTACGAAGTTCTCTACTCGCAGACCTTATGCAGATAAAGTACAGTAATCGTCAGTTAATCAGAAAGCAAACTTTAGTTTATCATCATTATAAAGCAATCCTAAACTTTTAATCAGATTGCAACTTCTAATATTAGCATGTCGACTCTTTGCTGGCTACTGAAGAAGGGGATGGAGCACATGTGGGAATGATCCAAGTGCAGTGATATCAATTCTTGTTTAATTCATTTATTCATTCATTCATGACTAATAATTATTAAATAATTACCAAAAATATTTTTTTTTAAATTATCATTATAAAGTACCATCAACTGTATGGTTATGGTCACAAAAAACTAGAAAAAATATTAGTAACCATGGAAATGTGATGTCTGAGAAGGGTTGCAGGAGTGACCAAAAGAGATAAAATTAGAAATGAGGTTATAATAGAAAAAAGAAACAATTCTAAATTACATACAAAGGCAGCAAATCAAATGGCTGCCCACTTAGAAAGAATGCCTTGTGATGCGATACCATACAAGGCGTACACACGAAGAGGAAAAGGATATAGAGGACAAGGTAGACCAAGAACAAGATACAAAGCTGACATGAGAGAAACAATGTGTCCGTGGCTGAGGCGACCAGAAGAGCAAGAAGCAAAACCTTATATCTCCCTCGACACCCCAGGCGGTAAAAGAGGAAGTGAAAAGAAAAAAGAAGTATCAATTGTGGCATGCAGGTCAATCTAGTGTACAAGTCGACCCCAAGCTTTTTAGCTCAAAATTCTGAGTTAGACCCCATACCTACCGTACAGGTCAACCCCAAAACATTTTTAGTTGAATATGCCAACTATGTTCATCACACACAAGTTATAGTGGTATTTATCTGTGGTAGCCAGGTGGATGTGTAGTCAGTAGCATACAGTGATTGTCACAAGTGCTGTCCTACTTGTTTACAACTAGGTAGTAAGGCCTGTAAGATTGAACAGCCTCAAAAGTCTATGGTTAAGCACCAACAAGGAGATAAAAATTAGAATTTTGAGAGCATGCATCTTCCCTGTGGCTACATATGGATGTGAGTCGTTCGTGGACTATCTCTGTCATTAAGAAAGAAAATAGGGGCTTTTAAGCTGAAATGCTATAGAAAGATTCTCAGAATATCTTGGACAAAGAAGAGGAGAAATATAGACATCTTAAAAGATCTGAACATCAAGGAAGATTGGCTTATAAACAGTATCCTTTCTCGGAAGCTGAAATATTTTGGTCATATCAGGCGCCACGACGGATTGGAAAAAATCATAGCAGAAGGCATGGTACCATGAAGGAGGGGCAGGGGCCGACCGACACAAAGATGGGCACAGGATATAAGTGACTCCTTGAGTATGAAAGTACATGAGGCAGGAGAGCTGGCGAGAGACCGAGTTTCTCTCAAGCAGACTGTGATGAGAGCGACGTTCTGCAAAGGACCTGCTACATGATGAGTAAGGCCTGTATTTTATACTCGTCATATAAAACAATTGTCAGCTGATTTAACTCTGCAGTAATGCACCTGACGAGACACAGCGAAATATGGCAGGCAACAAACTGTGCAACGCATTGTCTGTGTCCACATTATTTAAATTCCTTCAGTAGTAATAATCCGGCTCTGTGGCTAAGTCGATGCGAATGCTTCGTAATGCCAGGTTCAATCCCAGCTGCGGGCCATGCCATGGTTTTGACAGTGGTATCAAGAAAGCGAGCGCCCAAAAAGCAATGGCAAACTACTGGACGTAAATTTGCCTAGAAAAATCACACAACAGCCAGGGGCTGTTGGGGTTGGTTCTGTAAAGGATACGCAACTAACCTTTAGTAATAATATCTGTCAGCTGTAACTAATTAATTTTCTGATTCCTCTGGCAATAAAGGTGAACAGCAGCTGATTAATTTCCTGAAAGTAATAATTCCTCTGGGTAATTACTGTCAACTGTACCTAATTAATTTCCTGAAAGTCGTCTGCTTCTTTGACATTCACCCTTCAAAGGGTAGTTGGCACTGTTCTGTGATTTACAGCTAGGCTGCAATATCCGTGCACTTCACCCTAATGTAGCTGGTTTCAGCAAACACTTGATTTTACAAAGGGTTTGTTGTGGGCAGTGGACAACCCCCCCCCCACCACCCCCCCCCCCCTCCCCTCCCCCAATAGGGCTTGGAAATCCACTGGGAATATCCTAAAAGTATAAATGTTTCTTATATAATAACTATAAACGGTACCTAATTCATTTCCTGATAGAAATTTCAGTGCAGACGTCACCAACTCCACCCAGTTTTTCTGTAGTGCCAACCAAGGATTGGAGATTTCATCATTAAGGTCTAACCACTCGGTTACTCTGTCTTCCACCTGGGGAATTAAATAACCATAGATTAATAACCATAGATTAGTTGTCAACGACTAGAGAATCCAATGTATGTTCAAATATTCCATTTTAAGTCAAATAAGTCAAAGGCCAACAATTCCAATGTAAGACATCCATTGTAAATCAAAGAACAGAGATGTCATGTAAGCTATCTGTGTTAAGTCAAATTAAAAAGAATCCAATGTAAGTCTAAGACCACAGTTTCCAATAAAGGTCAACAAATAAAGATTAAAGATTCCAATTCAAGTCAACAACCAAAGATTTCAATATATGTCAAAGATCACAGATTTCAATATAGGTCAAAAGATCAAAGATTCAAATGTGAGTCAATGACCAAAGATTCCAAGGTATGTCAAATACCAAAGAATCCAATGAATGTCAAAGATCAAAGATTATAATGTGAGTCAAAAACCTAAGATTGCAATGTATGTCAAAGATCAAAGATTCTAATTTAAGTCAACAGACTGAAGATTTCAATGTAAGTCAAAAGATCAAAAATGACCAAATATTCTGAGGTATGTCAATGACCAAAGATTCCAATGCGTGTCAATGACCAAAGATTCCGAGGTATGTCAAATACCAAAGATTCCAATGTAAGTCAATGACTAAAGATTCCAATAAATATCAAAAGACAAAGCTATTATTGTTATTGTAATATAAATAAAACAATTCATGATATCCAAAAGAATACTTTATTAGCTTGGTTGTTCCATGACACATACCATGTGTCACTGGCTCTACCCATATTGTCAATACTTTTGTTAAGGATGTCAAAATCATTAAGCATATGACACCATGATGCAGAAAAACACAGTAACACAATCTTCTTCTCTTCTTCTGCCTTTCTAGCCCTCAATGGAGCATAGGCCTTCAACCAACTCACGCCATTTCGTTCTATTTTTTGCTATCGCATGCAGCTCTCCCCATCTTTCTAACTTCATTCTCTAGCTCCCTTCTCCGTGTGTTTTTTGTCCTTCCTTTATTCCTATGCTCCTGTGGGTTCCAGTGTAAAGACATTCTAGTTATATTGTTCTCCGGTTTCCTCAATGTGTGAGTGACACCATCATGACATTTAAAGATGGCCACCCCACCTTTGACATGCACCAAGGAGGAGCAGTGCTCTGCATTCCATTTTGTTTATCAGTGGGAAAAAAAATTAGAAATTATATTTATTCACTGGTGAATGAAGTCCAGTATGGTAATGCATGCTTGTTAGTCCAGCAAGTGTATGAGAGGAGTAGGAAGTTTCTTGTGAAGCCCACTCGTATTGTCACAAAACATGTGATCCTAGTTTATTCTTGTGGGGATTTTTACATAAAAACTGACGATTCTAGTAGTAGGCATAGCTGCATTTTCTGTATTTATAATAGCCAATATGGGACCTCAAAAAAATGTTCTCCAGAGGGATATAGATGCAAAAAATTAGAGGTCAGACAAAATGTTTCTCATAATTCAGTTAGAGAAGTTACAAATGAACCCAAAAAAATTTGTTTTTAAGCACATATACTTCTTCTGCGTTTATGCGAAGATGTGATTGCGTTGTGTTCGTTTACAGCATGCTGCGATATTTGCACCTTTTGGCCAACACATCCGACTTCTGCGGGCATTTGTTGACAGGGTTAGCCTTCCCGGTTAGTTTCTAGGGACATGGCAGTCTCATTGCTGTGTGGTCAACTTTATTTCCCAGGTCACAGGTGGTGCCCCAATCAGGCTAGTCCAGAGAAGCCACATAATGCTGATCAGCTCTCAAGCACATATACAAACGGATTCATTCACACATTTACATTTATATATTAAAGTTTATATCTTCATGTTTATAGATCTCCTTTATTGTAAAAGTGTTGCTAAGGAGCATAACTATTATCTTTTTAAGGTGTAAACCTGCAGAGTTATTTTTCTTTATCTGCCCTTTATGCTCCAATGGAGTTCAGGTCCTGAACTAACTCATGCCAAGTCATCCTATCCTTTGCTATTGCATGCAGCTCACCCCCATGTCCTCCCCATCTTTTTTTAACTTCACTCTCTAGTTCCCTCTTCCGTGTTTTCTGTTTGGCTTGAATTTATTTCTATGCCCCTGTGGGTTTCAGTGTAAAGACTATAGACTTTGTTAACAGTGTTCTCAGGTTTTCTTAATGTGTGTCCTTTCCAATGCCAGCATCTTTCTTCACTTCTTGATTAACTGGAATTTGTTATCTCCCAAAGCTCTATATATGTGATTCTATAATACCATTTAATTTTCCCTATTCTGCGTAGGCACCAGTTAATGAATGGTTGTAGTTTATTAGTAATTGCTTTAATTGTACTCCACGCATCTGTTCCATACGACAGCACTAATCTGACTTTATAGTAAAATATTGTAAGTTTAGAATTAGTTCCAAATTCATTTGATTTTAATGGTTCTTCTAGTACTTCACTGGAAATGTCACGGGTAGTGAGCATACTTTGGATCTGTTCTCCAGGCTATGCCGCCGTAGTGGGTAATGAACAGGCAGACAGATTGGCTGGATCTGCACCACTGGGTGGTGAACTGATACGTGACAAGGCAGATGTGGTCAAGCCCCTTTAGGAACAAGCAACTGAATCAGCAGAGAAACAAGATTACGGCATGGAGAGAATGAGGCACCTGGGTGTAACCAGAGGGTCTGGCCGGCTCACTACACTCAGTGGAAAGGCAAGACGGACATATAACCAGATTGTGATATTGGAACTCTGAGCTGGCTGCTGAAGATGAGGACAGAGTACACATGGGAATGCTCCGAGTGCTCATTACATTTCTTTAGCTTGGCTCTCTGTTGCAGCTGGTAGCAAGGCATTCTCATCAGACAGTCAAACACTATCATCTGCTGCTCACTGATGAATTTGTATGGCTGTTTCACATTCTTGGCCCTAAAATACAGCAAATGCCCCATGTTTTATACAAGTAACAATAATACATCACAGGAATCTTACCTTAAAAGTAGAAGTTTTTCCATCTGGAAATTCTGATAAAATATCTCGTAACAAACAGAAAAAGTTTGTTGCCGGACCAAACACCGTCTTTGATGGTCTGGAAATAAAGATGTATGAATCATTACAATCATGGAGTATTTTACGAAATGAAAGAAGGAGGACTGTGAGAGATAGACAGACTGAAGAGTTGAGAGGAGGGAGTATGGGAGGGAGGGGAGAGAGAAAGAGAGACAGAGACAGACAGAGAGAGAGAGAGAGAGAGAGAGAGAGAGAGAGAGAGAGAGAGAGAGAGAGAGAGAAACCATTACTTCAAATGATGATAAGCATAAAAAGCTACTTACTCTTGAGACTCCTCCTCTTCTCCAAGGACACTAGAATTCTGTTCAACGACTGAGCTGATTGCTGGGGGTGCGACACTGGAGTCTTCATCAACCACAGTTGGTGACTCCTTGCCTTTTAACTTCCGTTTCTTCTCACCTTTGGTCTTCATTTTCAGCTTCTTTTTCACGGGAGATGGATCACCTGTAGTGATTTCCCCTGTAAGCAATTCACATACAGGAAATTCACATAAGATATTAGACAATCCACGCAGGTTATTAGGCAATTCGAATATGTTATTCATAAACTATCTGATTTATTATTTACAAATAATGAGACAGTTACTGGTATAATTGGAATTGTAACTCTTCACTTGCTGATGAAGATGTGGACAGAGCGCTTATGGGAGTGGCCTGAGTGATATGATGTAGATTCTTAATTCAACATTCAACATACTCCAACTGACTATGGGTAGCAAACAAAAGATGAACTTGGGTGTGACACAAACATACATAAAGAGAGCTGCGCTACAGCCGACCAAGAAAGAGATGGGTGGAGGAAGTTAAGGCGGCATCAAACACAATAATACCTGAACACAAGCTACGCAACTAGCAAAAGACATGACAACTACAACTAACTCTTCTCTGAGAACACTTTATGACATAAACAGTAGGACAAAAGAAGAAAAACAAAGCAAGAATAACATAGCTACAAGTGTTCACTGTCTGTACTGATTATTCAAATCTTCTTTTTTTTAAAGTTAGCAGTACATGTTTTTCATAAATGTCATAAACAAATGCCCACTTTTTGTTGCCTGATTGTGGTTTTACTATGCATTTGTACACTCCATAGTTTGTCATTCCTTTCCTGAAAGGACAATGCCCACTTACCTAACTGTTGAAATAAAATGGTCTACTGCCATCTGCATCTGATCATAGCATGTCATAATTATGAGACTGTGATCATAACTCCTAAACCACAGGCGCTCAGATCTGCTGCAGTGACCAAATGAAAGCAAAGATAACAAGACAATCAGGTGTTCAGTGTATGTACTCACCATTCAGATCCCCAGCTGCATTGATCTTTGTATTTTTTTTATTTGCCCGGCATCTGGTCAGTATGTCCTGGAGAGTGATATTGCTAGTGTCCAGTTCTGGCATGTCCTATTAATAATGGGAGGGGGGGGGGGGGGGGGAATCAATATTAGATCAAGCTGTAGCGGCAACAAAACATTAGTGTTTCAAGCGAAATAGAAATACAAAATAACACAGAAAACTATACTGTTTAACTGAATCACCAAACTATACTACCGATTATAAAAGGAATATTTCAACATTATTCCCAGAAAATAATTTTGAAAACCCATATGGGGAAGACTGAAACTTAAATAAAAAATGTATACAATTCATTTAGATAGAATGTCCTGGTACACATGGAAAGAGAGCCACAATAACCCACTGACTACCAAGCCCTTTTACCCTTGCACTTTCCCAGATGCCACACATTTTAGCGAGTGCTAAAAATGCCACAGCGTCACAACTATTTAACATACACTTATCATATTTTATATTTGTGCTCCACATTGAATGACACATTTCAAGAAAAAAAAACCAATGTGTTTATTTTGTCTCACATCATGTTTTGTATTTTTGCACCAAATTAAATGGAGAATAGATTAGAAGAAACCTGGAAGGCTAACCCGGTCAACAAATGCCCGCAGAAGTCGGATGTGTTGGCCGAAAGGTGCAAATATCACAGCCATGCTGTAAAAAGGCACAACGCAATTACATCTTTGGATGAACAAAGAAGAAAAAGAAAAAGATTTTTGTGAAAAAAAATGGGTTTATTTTGTCTGACATCATTATTACGTGGCTGTAGACATGGTACCAAAAAAAGGCAACCGAAAAATCTTATATCTAGCACCAATGCAGACTAACAAAAATGCCATAATGTCACATCCGTTAACATTCACTAATATTTTTTATTTTTGTATGGAGACTAATTTGCAAGAAAAATACTGTGTTTAAGTTTGTTTCAAATCATCATCATGTGCCTGTAGATTGGTGCAAAAAAGGGCAACTGGAAAATTGTAATATCTGATAACAATATAGACTAATAAAAATCCCAAAACTTCACAATCATTCAACATACACTTTTCAAATTTTTGTATTTTTGCATTAAATTAAATGCAGAACAAACTGCAAGAAAGAAATGGGTTTATTTTGTTTGGCATCATCCTCCTCTGGTTGTAGATATAGTAGGGGGGGGGGAGGGGGGGGGGGGGGGGGGGGGGCAAAGAAAATCTTTTATCTGTAAAATAAATATAGACCAAATTTCATGACACATAAAACATGAAATTGTATTGTTTTATCAATATACAAAATTGTGTGCAATTCAATTTCAATGCAACCCAATATATTGCTTTACTATGCAATCTTCCCTGATGTTCAGGTCTATTAGTATGCCTATATTTACTTGCTCTGTCATCATTCTCTTGCCCAATTCATATTTTTGTGTGGTTTCTTCCCGCTCAAGTAGATGCTCTCCAACTTCGAGAGATGCCCCCAGTTAGTCGACTCCTGCGACATGCTTCCTGGGGAGGCAGTTGGTCTACTCGCCCCCCCCCCCCAAACAATGGGGACCCGGAAACCCACACAGGAAGTGTGAGTAACTAATGGGAGCTGTCTGATATTTTAGCTGAATGCTCTAATCATTTCACCCCAGACCAGAACTAGTGATGGAGGATAGTTGACTGTATGCAGCTGGAATGGAAAACAAATATTTGTGAGTTAACCTATGTTCCAGCCCAATTACTAAGTTCTGAGTGTTGTCTGTCACAGTTACTGAATCTACTTAAGCAACTGTAGGCCTGTAATTTTACACTGTCAATCTTAAGGAGTACATTACAATTACTATCATTCTGCTTTTTCAAAAATCAAAGTGCACCAAGCATTTTTGCAATCATTTTTTGCATATATAGAATCAGGAGTCAATTTATTAGGAAATTGTTGTTCTAATGCAATCCCCATGTGGGATGCAATTTTTCGTTATTTGATTCCCCACCCTGGCTTTTGCCGGGGGCCCCAAATATATCTGGCCATGAATATGGCCTAATGACTGGACGGGGTTCCTGGGACCTCTCCATGGATGATCCTCATCCGCATGGTGGCACTTTGTGTCCCCGGGTGATTATCGCTCTGTGTAAAGTCCTGGTGGGGTCTCATTTACATACATACATTTATTAGAAAATTTGTCAAAACCAAAGGCGATGTGTTTTTTTTTTAACTGAACCAAAACACTTATCATTCCTCCTTAAAAGTGACACAATTACAAGTAATACTATTAACTGTGAAAGACACTGAACTGCATTAATATACTCACCGATTCTAAATTCTTCTTCTTCTTATGTAACTTCAGCATCAGTTTGTAACTCTCTTCCGTAACTTCCACTGGGCTGATAGGCCGAGGCCGTTTACTATTGGCTGCCATCTGACCTGGCTGGGACATGTCCAATGAATGATCATTGTGTCCCAGATCCCCATTAACCATTTGAGGCTTGGTGGCAAATGTGGAAACCACGCTGGGGAGAGTCGGCTCTGGTGAGGGTATAGGGCCCAAGGATTTGAACAGCTGGCGCCTACTTCTTTGAACTGGACCTAAAATGACATTTTAAAATCCATCTAAACGAGAGTGGAAAAGCACTTCCAACTGTTGGTTTTTTTTTATATATATATTTTTAAAAAGTTTTTTTAAAACATTACAATAAAGAGATGTTTTCAAATCAAAATAGGATATTAACTCTTTCAGTCCCATGGGGTTTAGCATAAGAGGTACAAGGGGTAGTAGAGAGAGATGTAAAATCAGCACATCTGGCATTCATTGGGCTTCTAGGAAGAAAACTATAAACATATGATACATTCCTTGGGATTGAAAGAGATAAAGTTGCAAACACATCATTATCTCAAGGTGTGAAATATCAGTTATAAAATAAGATGGGCAATGGCTATAACAAATTCATCAAGCAATCAGATAGCAGAGAAGACTGAAGAGTCATAATCACAACAATAAACGGAAAATTAACTACTTTGAAATTCACACATAAATAAATATCAAATTAGTTACTACGGGAGTTAACAGTAAAATTATTGAAGAACCTTGATGGTGATCTTCTTCGCGTTCACCAGCTGTACACTCTGGCGGAAAGTTCTGGTTGCTCGTCCACTACTGAATTGCAGTCCTGCTCCAGAACCTAAGTGTTGAGCGTGCATCAGTTTTACAGATCTCATTATCTTGAATACAGAATGTTGGTTCCTTGCCTCTCCGGCAGATGCACTCCAACTTCAAAGGAAGCTCCCAATTAGTCGACTCTTACGACATGCTTTTGGGGAGGCAGTGGGTCCATTCTTGTTTTCCCCACAATGGGGCCCTGGAACCCACACGGGGGGCTTGATGGTGATGAAGTCTATAGCTCAGTACACAACTTCACAAATAAGCTTTTCCATTTCTTACACCACAATGGCTTTATGAGACTGTCCCACTACTGTATTCATATCCTGACCTCCTGAACTTTTGCCAAAGCGTGAAAACATTTAACACCATTAACTATGCAACTCATAAACAGGTCACAAAAGACAAGTCAGGAAAATGGCATTTACAGGGAACTGGACCCAACAGAAGTGTCGGTTTTTAGTCATAGTCTTTTAACACAGTAAAACTGAAACATGTGACATGTATTTATAGAAAGAAAGAGAAAGACAACAAGAGAAGATTCTTAGCCTACTTTCATCATGGCATGGAAAAGTGTCAGCAGACACACTCACTGATACATGCAGCTGAGGACTGCAAAATGTGTGATTGTCAATATCAACCAGCGAGGCACTTGACTTTAACAAGGCCTCTTTTCTGACAAAGTCCCTAATTTTGATGGGGCCTCTTTTCTGATGAGACACTTGATTTTGATGGGGCCTCTTTTCTGATGAGGCACTTGATTTTGATAGGCCTCTTTTCTGACACTTGATTTTGATGGGCCTCTTTTCTGACAAGGCACCTGATTTTGATGGGCCTCTTTTCTGACGAAGCACTTGATTTTGATGGGCCTCTTTTCAAAAGAGACACTTGGTTTGATGAGGCCTTTTTTTTTGGACGAGACATGTGATTTTGATGGTGCCTCTTTTCGGACAAGACATCTGATTTTGATGGTGCCTCTTTTTCATGATTTACTTCACTTCTTTTCTAAAAAGGCGCTTGATTTTGAATGTGCATCTTTGACAAAGTTCCCTCCTTGTGTTCCACCTTAGGTTATTTGAATCTGCTCAGACTTAAAGTTTGGTTCCTTTGAAGCACATCTTCTTGAGACAGAACAAGTCTAGGTAACATAGTCGTGGATACATAGAGTTATAAAAAAATAAGGGAAACATTTCCTCTAATATATGATCAGTACTGTTGAAACTGACTGAAACTGACAGTTATTAAGATATCCAAACATAAATAATAATCATCATGTGCTGTGCTGGGCTGATAAAATAAGCGACCCTGGTTCAACATCACTCAACTACTAGTATCCCATCGATTCTTGTCATTACTTTTGACCATGTAATCCATGTATTCTTCTTCTTTTTCGCGTTCACCAGCTGTAAACTCTGGCGGAAAGTTCTAGTTGTTCATCCACTTCTGGACTGCAGTCCCATTCCACAACCTGAGTGTTGCCTGTGCATCTGTTTTACAGACCTGACTCATTTGTATGCAGACTGCTGGATCCTTGCCTCTCAGGCAGACACACTCCGACTTCGAAGGAGTCGACTCCTATGACATGCTTTTGGGTAGGCAGTGGGTCTATTCTTGTTTCCCCTATAATAGGGCCCTGGAACCCACATGGGGGAAATCCAGGTATTCATCCCCCCCACCCTGCTCTGTTCACATCAAGCTTAACAGTTGCCGGTAACTTTCCTTGGCATATTTTACCCAAAAAAACTCTGTCTACACCTAATTTCTACAATCAATTTATGCCTGTTATCTGTTTCTCTATTATCATGTTTTCTCACTGTGTGTGTGTGTCATATCCAGTTCCAGCGTAATTTCCTCACCTCCTGATTCACTGGAATTTGTTTTGCTCACGCTTAAATATATGCACTACACTTCTTGTTTGCCTTCACTGGCTGTAAACTCTGACGGAAAGTTCTGTTCTTGCACCTGAACCTGAGTCTTGTGTGCACATTCATTTTACAGATCTGTCTTACTTGTATGCTGACTGTTGGTTCCTCACCTCTCAGACCCAACTTCGAAGAAATCTTCCCTAATTAGTAGATTCTTACTACATGCTTGTTAGAAGAAGAAGAATTTTTAATTTATTAGTGACTTGTGTTAAATGTTTTCTCCCCATTTTTTTTCAGGAACTTTCCTCCCAGTTCTTGGCCTATTTGTTTAAAGGGTTTTTGAGATAACATGGTCAAATATTACAATTTCTCACTTGTTTCTTCATCTTCATCAGATGATGTATCAGGAACTCCACACTCTTCTCTTACTTCCTTTAAAATTCTGCAAATATAAAACCAAAAAAATAGGTCCCACATTAGAAAAAGCATTCTTTTTTTTTTTGTAAAATTCTATGTTTACCAAAACAGACTAACTAAAAACATTTCCAATTGGTATTACTCATTTTTATTTTTTTCTTGTGTGTTTTGTCCTCAAAAGGGTGGTCTGCACACTGGGTTGTGGTTTATACAGCAAGGCTGCAATAGCTGCAACTTTTAGCGAACCCTTCATTAGTCGCCTTTATAAAACATGCTTGTTGGGGGGGGGGGTGGATATATTCTCATTACCCCCACAACCAAAACAGGGTCACCATAACATATATGGGGAGTTCCATTTTAGGTGTCAGCCTAGCTGAGCATTCACCTCTGACAGTCAGAATTTCAAGATGAGTTGAGTTAATTCAAGAACCGACATCACAGCACGTGGCATTCATAATAAGCGCTCCATCCCCATCTTCAGCAGCCAGCGCAGTGGGTCTATTCTGGATAATCAGTGGGTCTATTCTTGTTATCCCTTAAACTGGGCCCCGGAACCCCTATAACTGGGCCCCGGAACCCCTATAACTTGGCCCCGGAACCCCTATAACTGGGCCCCGGAACCCCTATAACTGGGCCCCGGAACCCCTATAACTGGGCCCTGGAACCCCTATAACTGGGCCCCGGAACCCTTATAACTGGGCCCCGGAACCCCTATAACTGGGCCCTGGAACCCCTTAAACTGGGCCCCGGAACCCCTATAACTGGGCCCCGGAACCCCTGCGGGAAGCTGAGACTATCAAACTGACAAGCAGGTTGAGATTATCTAGTAAGAACTGCAGTATGCAACAGAAACATAGAAAATGGCTCAAACAAATATTTCTTCGGCTTTAACGATCAAAGCCTGCTAAGCATCTATTCCGTTCCAGTCCACAAACACAATGAATGAAGCCTTTACCGGTACAACACAATTTGTCTTGCAGCGTCGCTCTTGTGGCCCTTCTGACTGGAAAGATCTGGACAATGCTGCAGGACATGCTCTGGGGTTGAAACAATTACAAATACACAACAAACCTTCATTAACTGGTACCTGGGCAAAAAAAGAAGAAATTAAAAGGTAAGACAGCAAAGCAGTGCTTTAGCAGTAAAGAAAACAAATTCCAGTGAATCAACAGGTGAGGAAACTACGTTGGAACTGGATAGGGCACACAACGAGTAAACATGATAACAGAATAACTAGAAGGCCTTGCAATGGAACCCACAGGGCTAAACAAAATTAAGGAGACCAAAATATATGTGAAGATGAGAATGATTTTCAAAGCAAATAAGCCCGGAAGGACACAGAGTGATCTGACATGGAAAAGGATAAGGAAGTTTGCTGTGAGTTGATTGACAGCCTATGTGTCATGCCATTGAAGGATAAATGGATAGAAGAAAATGAGGCATGAGATGTACCACAGAACATAACCAGTCATCCTACACTACCTGAAGACCTTTTTCTTCACAGTCTGTTCCAGGGGTGTAGATTTCTTCTTTGGGGGTGGGCGGTATTTAAATTTGAGAGGTTCTCCTGGTGCTAATGTAGACGCATGTTCGAACAGTTCCTAAAATGAGAATACGATAAAGTGATGTAGATCTGACATCAGATCTGATGCAGAAATTACAGAATAATCATTAGCAATCTGAGTTTACACAAAGTGTAAACTAACTCTTCCTCTTCTTTTTCTGTAAACTCCGGGCGATAAGTTCTAATTAGTTGTCAACTCCTGGACTTTGATCTCGATTTAGAGCCTGAGTCCTGTGTGTACATCCATTTTAAAGATCTGACTCATTTGCACGCCGACTGTTGGTAATTTGCATCTCATGCTGATGCACCCCGACTGAAGGAATACCCCTTCTATGACATGCGTGTTGGCGGAAGGGGGGAGGGCTATTCATTTTGTAAAAAGCAGTCCCCGGAATCCACACAGGGTTGTAAATTAACAAATGTTAAATAAAAGTGACATACTTAATTTCAGATAATGGAAACAACAATTTTCATGACAAACTGCTAGACTATTTAACCATTTCACAAGCTTATACATAATTCAGAAAGCAATGGCAAACTACTGAATGTTACAATACCTAGTAACCATAAAGAACTGCTGTGGTTCGTTCTGCAAAATACTGTAAAGGAAACAACTTTTTTTTTTCTGTAAATACACTTGAGTTATCTGTTGTGAAGTGGCACTGAATCAATCAATGATACAAATAATAACTAGGCCCAATGATGGTTAGATACCCAACAATTTCTGTCCCACATGTACTGCTGCCATAAACCAGAAAGCCGTGAAAATGGACCATTCACACCATAAACGATGCCAGGTGAATCGAACCCTAGTAAGTCATGAATTGAAAAATGCATTCATTACCCTCTAAACCACACAGCCAGACATCATTTGCAATTAAGTATTTAAAAATAAACTCTTCAAATATCTACATCAAAGCTTTAAACTACATTCTAATTTCCTTTTCATTTCTTTTATTTCTACTAACTCAGACTGAACGAATACAAAATATGATAGGCTGTAAATGGGATCAGCTGTCCGAATGACCAGAACAGATAAAATCAGAAATGAGGTCACAAGAGGAAAAAACTGGCATATAAACAATTCTAAATTACACACAAAGACAGCAAATCATAAGGTTTGTCCAGTTAGAGAGAATGCATTGTGACACCTTACCATACAAAAAAAAAAGTAAAGGACTCTTTTCCACGCCTTTAGGCGTATAGGGCTAGACCTATATTTGTATAGACCAATTGGCACAAGATGGGTGATGTGGTCAACATCACGCCGGCCGCCTCTACTTCCCGAGACTGCACCCGGTCCCCACTCACGGCTGGGTCGACCTGATAGCTAAGGTCATTTTTGAAAAAAGTTGCTCCGCCACGGGGACTCCCCTTACCATACAACGTAACACCAAAATAGGAAAAGGACACCGAGCACAAGGCAGACCAAGAACAAGACTGAAAAATAACACCACAGACACCCTACAACAGCATATTATGTCTATGGGCGAGGTAGCCAGAAGATCAGAAAGCAGACCTGATATTTCCCTCGACACGTGAAGTGGTAATGAGAGAAGCAAAGAAGAAACAGAGCAATTTTTACTAAAAGCTAACCTACTTCAAATAAAATGGTATGCCTTTAAACAGAATAATTGTATGACACATATCGCCATGTGTCCCGCTTACCTGTCTTGCTAGTAACAGATGAGTTAACAATTCTGACAAGTAACTCTGGTGCCTCATTTTATAATCTCTGTAACGGAACTGACGTGTCTGCTTTCTGTAGCATGCGATTTCTGGGTGTAAGTAGCCCTCTGGGGAAAAATATATAATTTACATTTTTCAGTCACTGGAATTACAGGGAGGAATTGCGCAGCGCCGTAGTTTTCAAGTTTGGCTGCGACATTTTCTGGTCTATCTGCACCTTTTAACTTGGCCCCTCTAACATATTAGAATGTTTTTCCTTAAATGAATTGCTCGTCCCCTGCTGATAGGCGTAACTAGTAGTAATAGTTGGGGCCATCTACTTGGCCCCTATTTAGTCAGACACTCAATGTCTCAATGGAAAACCAGCCATAGCAATGAGTATTCCCTGCATATAATTCACATTAAAACCCTTTTTTTCAAACAGGCAGCGGCTGCAGTAACGCAGCCTAACACTCTTGCCTGCAAGCCAGATGGCCGTGTGTTCAATTCTCCACACAGGTGGGATTTTTTTCCAAATTGACCTAGACTCCTAGCTCGGTCCAGTTTAATATGGGTACCAGAAAGTTTCCTAAGAAGTAAAAAAGGCCAATGTGATACTGACTACCTCACCCATCAAGTAACGGATGGTCTATAAAAAATATGGGGCTTGCAACAGATACCAGACACTTTGCCTAAAGGCATGGAACAAGGTCCTTTATTTACTTACTTTTTTAACTCTTTGAGTCCCAAGGAACGCATCATATGTTCACAGGTTCCTACCTAGAAGCCCAATAAACGCATGATGCGCCGATTTTATTACTTTCTTTACTACCCCCTGGGCCTGTGATGCTAAACCCCCTGGAACTCAAAGAGTTAAAAAAAATTGATTACGTAATACAACTTGCTTATTAATCCATACAAACAGAGCTTTTTTCCTAGGAAAAAAGTACTAGGTGTGACGTGCGTTGGCTTCATTGTGACTGGCGGCGTACCAAAGTGACTAGGGGGTGTCGCAATGTAACAAATGGCATCAGCACTTAACATGCCACTGGCCAAGAGTAACACAACATGATGAATGCTGAAGCTTCCCAAACGTAGCGGAACGAGAACTCTTTTTAAAGTTCCATTTGTGTATTGACAAATGCAATGATCAACACGAGGATAAAATATGCAATTAATAATCAAGCACATCAACAAAAACTCGCTCGTACATCCATGGACTGATATGTCCTCACGATAGGTCGCAGTCCGACCTTGAGATCCAGACAGTCATCTTCGGACTGTAAACATCAACTGCAAAGTATACCGGCTTACTGCCAAACTGTGGCATCCCGGGGTAAAACGTCCTCAAGGATCCACCGTGGCATCCTGGGGTAAAGCATCCTCAAGGATCCACACCAGGGCCGGACCACCGTCTGCCTTGGTCAAACTTCGACTTTCATCTCCTAGAATACAATTCCTTCACATCCGCACGCGACACTAGGACTAGCTAAAAAAAAAAAAAAGTGGTTAAAAAAAGCGCAGGTACACACAATAGAGTGTCAACTCAGAGTAGCCTGGAGAAAAAAATGCCAATAAAAAGGTGGCAGTACTTTGTACCACCAGAAGAAAACCTGCCTACAAGAGACCCAAAATTACATACAAAGACACAAATAAAATAATCTGCCCGTAAGAGGGAATGCCCTGCAATTCCGCCATATACCAAATAAGAACAGGGACTACAGCATAAGCCAGACAAAGAACAACATGGAAAGATAACCCCAATAACCTCAAACAGCAGTACAGTGTGGCTATAATTGGGGCCATCATAAGAGCAAGAAGGAAAACCTTACTTCCCCCTAGACATGTAGTTACAGAAAAATGACTTGCATCTGCAGGCAAGCATCCAGCCACTACACCACAGCGGCTCCCTAGACCTACATTATCATAGATCAGTCGACATTTGAAGAGTGAGAAAATGTCAATTTTTTCAAATCCCATTTGATGAGCATTTGAACCTAAGACCTTCTGGCCAGCAGGCAAGCATCTACCACTGCATTACTGCAGCTCCAAAAATTATTTTAAATAACACAATTTTGCTTCTCCATTTAAGCCATGCTCTAAATATTATAGAAAATAAAACAAAATTATGTGTATTTTTTCCTTAAAACCACTGCAGTAAGTTATTTAATTAATTTTATAAACAAAAATGAAAAGTACAATTTGTTTTTAAAAAAAATAAAAAAGTCCATAAATTTTTGTTAAATGCACCAACAAATCTATCATACCTTTCAATTTTCTGTGCATCTCTTCAAGTGGATTTCCAAACTTGAAATTTTCACCGCTAAAAAGTCGCCTGTAAATATTTTGAAAAGATTATAAAAAGTTGAATTAAAAAAAAAAAAAAAAAATAATTGTATCTTAAAGTTATCAACTGCAGCAAATGAAAAACTAATCAACATCTGAAATCTGCACACAGGTGGATTTTTTTTTTTTTAACCAGATTGTGGCTTCCAACTACAACCAGCCTAAAATGGGTAGCAGACTCTGTCCTGGGAAGTTAGGTTGCCGAAGTGATGCTGACCACATCCACCAAGTGTGGCATAGAGGTTCTCAAAAGCTTCCCAATCTTGATACACTGAAGTTTGAAGATAGCTGGAGATTTGCTAACAGACTGCTTCGTTTTGATTTCAAGAGTGGTACGATGGCAAATACTGAATTTAAAATAGCCTTGTAAAACCACACAATGGCCAAGTCCAGAGATTGGTTTGCCTTATAAAAGACATACAGCTGACAAGACAGTTCTAACTGTGCCAATACTGGTACTGTCCGAATATGGGGGGCAATTTTTTTAAAGCAACACTCCGGCTGTTGCCGAGGGCCCTAATATAACCCAATGGGGTGAACAGGGTTTCTGTGACCTGTCCCTGTGTGATCCTCATCCGAATTGTGGCACTTTGTCTCAACGGGTGTTTATCCCTCGGTGTGATGTCCTGGTGGAGTTAAACGTCAATCAAGACAGTTCTGTAGCCGTCTCCCTTCTTCAGTGCCTATCTTAAAAGATAACTCTTAAAAATTATATGGCACTCATTCCGTCTTTGGCAGTCGCCCTTCTCAAGAGGGGTTGGACTGTCAAGTTGTGGCTTACAGCTAGGCTGTGATATCTGAGCCCTTCAGCCCAGCACATTAGATTTCTGCAAACTCCTTTTACAACATACTTCTTAGAATAAAGTGAGCCCAAACATCTTCCAATTAAGGGCCCCAGAACCCACACAGGGAGTGGGACTAATTTAACCCGATAAGTCGATCTCCAAGGCTTTCTAGTCAAGAGTTAAAAATACTGCCACAACAAGGGAATGGACTGCATGTCCCTATGATGATAAGATAGTAAATTAACCATTGAGTATCGAGTGTAGAGCTGAGAACTGATTTCACAGCACTTGGGACTTTGTAGTGTACTCTATAGTGGTAGTCTTGACACATGTCTAAACCATCTGATGTGTTGTCTCTTGATGTAGTTTAGAACTAGTTCCGTCCCAATATGTTTCCTGATATCGTCATTTCTTCTTCATCTTCTTCACGTTCACCAGCTGTACACTCTGGCGGAAAGTTCTGGTTGTTCGTCCACTACTGAACTGCAGTCCTGCTCCAGAACCTGAGTGTTGCGTGTGCATCAGTTTTACAGATCTCATTCTCTTGAATACAGACTGTTGGTTCCTTGCCTCTCCGGCAGATGCACTCCGACTTCAAAGGAAGCTCCCCAATTAGTCGACTCTTACGACATGCTTTTCGGTAGGCAGTGGGTCTATTCTTGTTTTCCCCTACAATGGGTCCCCGGAACCCACACGGGGGTTCGTCATTTCTGATTCTGTAGACATTTCATTTCTGCTGTTTTTATTTTTTTTTTCCTTTTGTCATCATTGTCTACTTCTTGCACTTATAACACCGGTAAAAGAAACTGCTTACCTTAAAGTCTCTCGTTTCTCTAATTCATCATTAGAAGGAAAAGATGGTAGCAGTCCCTATTCGAAGGAAAACAAAAATTATTACAAAACCTATAAATGACTGCTCATGTCAGAGACGATGGTTCAATCCTCAGTAAGGATGGAGATATTTTTCACAGGCAAAAATACAAATCATAACTTGCACAGTTTGTGGCGACTGTCCTAGCCATGTGGCCCTAAATCCTCAGGCTCACGACTACTCTTCTTCTTCTTCTTTGCGTTCAGTTTCGTATGCTCAGATCAGACCATCAGGTGGGTTGCCTCTGAATTTGCATGTCAGCTGCAGGTCCTGCATGGTTCCCCATAGCTTGCTCTGCACACTTTTCTCATAAGGTCAGCTGTCTTTTAGGAGTTGCAGGTAGAGTGGGCAGGTCTGCAGAATGTGCTAAGGTGTTTGTGGTCCAGTTTGACAGGCACACTGTGGGGACTGTACAATCTTTATTTTATGCATGTGGTAGTTGAGCCTGCAGTGTCCTGTTCGTAGACGGACAATTATTGTATGTTGCTTTCTGTTGAGTCTGCTGTTGGGGTCTTGTGAAAGTTTACTGTTAGTTTGTTCTCTCCACAATCCCTTGTATTTTCCTTTGATAAGTGTTCTACGACTATTCTAAAGGTGGTCAATAGGTGCAGTTAAAACAACTAAGATAAGAATATTTAACTATCATCATCAGCAAGTGTGTTGCCGACTGGCATGGGTTATCATGCCTCTCCACAAACTGTACAAGTTCTATCTGTACAAGTTCTATCTGTACAGGTTTAAAAATGAATTGTTTGTTATGTATGTATAATAAACTGAAGCACAAGCCATCAGATATGATCTATAATATGTTGCCCTCACACGGAGCATCTAAGTTTGCAGTCAACAAAACTTAAACTCAAGTTTTTCTTTTTTTTTTTTTTTATTCCTTTATTACGAAGCAAACATTAAGCACAATGCTCAAATAAACATTTAAAGAGATACCAGAGATTGCAAATAAAACCAGGAAACAAGTTCAGGCATGGAATTAATGCTAAACTATAACAAGAGACAAAGATCAAATGGTTCGGACATGTGTCAAGACTACCATAAGACACTGCAGCACAGAGAGCATTGTCGCTTAGACATGACAGAAGCAAAGGAATGGATAGATGAAATATCTGAGGCTGTGAATACCTGCATCTACACAGCTCAACGCATGAGATGATCATTCTTCAAAACCTGATGCTAAATGGCAGAACAAGCTCTAGAGAAAAGAAGTTCAGCTAAGATTTATACCTTCTTCTTCTTTGCGGTCACCGGCCGTAAAATCCAGGGAAAAGTACTGGTTGTTAATCCATATCTAGACTTTTGTCTTGTTCCAGAACCTGAGTGCCATGTACACATCCGGTTTAAAGATCTGGCTTATCTCTATAAAGACTACTGTTTCATTGCCGCTCAGGCATATGCACTCCGACTTCAGAGGAAGCCCTTAAAATTAGTCAATTTATATGACAAATTTTGTAGAGAACCTGCTCAGGGAGATTATACCAAAACCTAAAGCCTACCTCAAGACGTTCCTTTTGTTCCGTTGTCAGGACAGTATCCCAGGTATCCAGTGACAGCACAGACATAAATATATGTTTCTGTAATACAAAAATAATTTTTGTACCAACAACTTCAAGTTACAAACAAGGTAAATTTTAAGTACAATAAAATGTCATATTTGTACTCATTTTCACTGGCTGCAAACTCCAACATAAAGTTCTGGTTGTTTGTCTACCTCTGGACTTAAGCCCTGTTCCAGCATCTAAGTGTGTGTGTGTGCAGGTGTGCAGATACACTTCACAGATCTGACTCATCTTCTTCTTCTTTCGTTCACCCATATCATTTTGCTGATTTAGACATATTTCCATGGCGTGTGTGCGTGGCATCCTGATGGCTGTGGTGCGCCTCCTGGCTAGTTGCCTCCGACTTCAGCACCTTGTTTTGCAAGGGTAGACTGTGGTCATACTCGAGGAGAGTAGGCTCATCCCTTCGTCTTTTGCCTTTACCTTGTTTGTTGTCCCATCCAGTTTCCCGCTGGGGGTTGAAACCCCAACCTTCAACTGGATTGCTTGGAAGAACAGGGTCCACCACATGAATGTGAGGCAGGCTTGAGCCACAGAGGAAAATACACTGTGATAATTCACATCTGGCACTACTGGAATTAGAACTCTTCACTGGCTGCTAAAGATGAAGTGCTTATGGCAGTGTTTCTCAGCCATTTTTGTGCCATGCCCCACCTAAGACTTTCTAAAATTCATATTATCCATATGAAACTCTGGATGAGTACACTTTCAAACTGCCCCCCCCCCCCCTAACAATGAAATTGACCCCCTGTGGGGCGTGGATCCTACGTTGGAAAACACTGGCTTAAGGGAATGTCCCAAGTGCCATGATGTCTGTTGTTAGCTCAACATTTAACTTCACTAAGAATGTAATTTCAAGATTGCTCACCTTTTCTAAAAACAGCTCGGGCAGTAAAAGTGTATCTCTTCCCAGCCTACACTGCTCTCTGCGTTCATCAGGGCCAGGTATCAGTGCAGACCATGCATCATTGTCACTGTCGACATCTTCGCTCATTTCTTGATCAGACTCCTCCATGACTGGTGAAGAAAATGGCACTGTAGATTTCCTAAGAATGTGTGCACATTTGTGTTTACAAGTATACACAGGCACATCAGATAGCTTCATGTAAACAAGAAAGCAATATTGTTCAGCTTCGTTTATTCTGAGCAGACTTTATTTTTATTTTACTGTTATCTTTATTACAGCCCTTGTTATACACCACACAATTAAAAACATGTATACTCTGCCTTAAATAGATATGGACTGAAATGAAGTACTACCATCAAATTTGACTGTGTCAGCTCTATTCTATATATTTTATAAAGTTTTTATGTTACACAAGATCATTAGTAATATTATGCTCAAACATTGAGTGTCATCAGGGGGGCTGTTTTTTTTTGTTGTATGCAATGCACCTATTTTTTAGGTCAGGCATCATTTTTTTTCTACCACTACTACAATACACTAACAAAATCTTTATGGTGAGTACTTGCACCTTTTTAGACATATCTTGGCGATTACAGACATCTGTTTTATTTAATTTTTTTTTCTATAACACAAATAGTCCTTGATAGTATAATCATAACCATAATCAATGATAACAGTTTTAGTCATGTCTGTATGTTATTACATTTTTGTTGTAGGGTTTAAAGCTAGAAAGTTACATTATTACACTCATTACTTACTGACTGTATCGTATGCTTACTGACTGTACCATATGCCTACTAACTGTATTGTATGCTTACTGACTGTATTGTATGCTTACTGACTGTATCGTATGCTTACTGACTGTATTGTATACTTACTGACTGTATCGTATGCTTACTGACTGTATCATATGCTTACTGACTGTATCGTATGCTTACTGACTGTACCATATGCCTACTAACTGTATCGTATGCTTACTGACTCTATTGTGCTTAGAGTCTCAGTCTCTAACTACTCCTAGTTATTATATAATCATTTATGAATTTAAAATGTTACAACTTGAACAACACATAGTTACATGATATAGTGTAAGTGTAAAATGAAGTAACAAATACTACAGTGAATCGTGTGCCTTGCCAATGATGGAGGCATTCACGTCTCTACATAGATCTGGGCATGATTATAGTTTTTGGATCAATTATAATAGTAGAGTAGAGCAAAAGAGAGGTGAAATTAGAAGAAGATTTTATGACTGAAACCAGCTACAGAATTCATTAAGGAGCAACACATAAATCTATATTATAACATCCGGCTCTCCTAGCAGATTTGGACGCAAGCGGGACGGCTTCGGTCGCCTTAGTGGGAGTTCTCTCCCTTGGCCGCACTCAAAACAAGTAGCGGAAAAAGTCACGAATCAAACAAGACAGTGAGGTCGACATCAGGGCTGCCAATGCTTGGGTGTGTCCCCCAGATCTGGGGGGTTTTTTTGACAATGTGGGGATATCTGTTTTTGTTTTTTTTTTGCCGATCTGTTTGCTTTAATGACCGATAAATTTGTGGGGTTAGGGGTAGAATTAGGGTTAAGGTTACGGTTAAGGTTAGGGGTAGTGTGAGGGTTACGGTTGGGGGTAGGGTTAGGTTTAGCGTTAAATGTGACAATTTTGATGCCGTAGTTCCCTATAATCGCGCACAGTCACATACACACTCAAACAGTCGACGAACGGTGGATGCTACTGCCACGGACAATTCGCCACCGATTGGGCACCAGCCGCCCGCTATTGGCGCCATATTTGGCAGAATTTCAGTGACGCCACACCCACAAGCATCAGATTGTCGGCCACTATTTCGACCTCCTACGTGAAAATTTTCACATCTAACCCTACCCCTACCCCTACGCAACCCTACACGCAATACGCAGCCCTACACCGTACTACACGCAACCGTAGGATGATGATAGACACCCTACGCAGCCCTACACGCAACTGCAGGATGATGATAGACACCCTACGCAGCCCTACACGCAACCGTATGATGATAGGTTACCCTAGATGCAACCGTACACAACCCTACATGCACCTGGATGATGATAGGTAAGTATGTCATTTGATTCGTGACTTTTTCCGCAACTTGTTTTGAGTGCGGCCAAGGGAGAGAACTCCCACTAAGGCGACCGAAGCCGTCCCGCTTGCGTCCAAATCTGCTAGGAGAGCCTAACATCCCAATTATAACCCTTGGGATTTAATCAAAACAGAACATTTTTGAAAAATTACTACTGCTTAAACATCACAATATCCATGGAATTCTACTTCGGTTCTGTTTGTGTAGTTTGTGTGGATAGATAGATCAATACTCACGTAAGGTTGCCACAGTTATTGTTTGTTTTCTTGTCTGTTCAATGACGTAGACTACTACTATTACTACTTGAACTACTAGTACTACACTACTGTTCTACAGTTTACAATTTACAGTCGATATTCCTAAAAGACTTAAAACCCGCTCAGACTGACTCACTACAATACAGACA